AAGAAGATGAGCTCTACAATAACCGTGCATGATTAAAATGTTCATCAGTTTGAGCTTTATATGGCGGAAGTTGGGATCTCTTGTGCTGAGAGACTGTGTATAGCCTATAGAGGTCTTAAATCTTGTGTGCATGCTGCTATCTTATGCGAAAGCATGTATATTGCAAACTGAGGCAACTGACTCGAGTATTTGACTCATACCAAATTTTCTTTTCGCTTGTTCATGTCTACCTTGATCTGTTCCTGGATTATATTTCTGAAACTTCTGTCGTATTCTACATGTAATGAGCAAAAAAGTGCTCCTTCCATAGTCGATTATCAGGAACAGAGAAAATTGAATCAGGAAGTAACTTGTCTCTGACCTTGGTGAAGACCAAAAACTCCTCGAAAGTGAGATCCACTCGGATAGTAGCAGAAAAGCCATAGTCCTATTTATAGATTGTGGAATCTTCTTCACAAATTGCCACAAAATAAAACGGAAAAAGAAAAGGCAAGCTTCGACGTAATGCAGAAGTGTGGGAGTGAGAACTACAGATGGATAAATCACAGTTGATAGCTTTGTTTCAAAGACAAGCTTTAGACCTTTGTAACCAACATATCCTTTGCTTTGCGGGAAATGCAAACACTGAACACCCTCAATTGCCATCTGAGTAAATTAAGCATGCCTTGATACGTTATCATTAGCCAGTGACCCCTTCTTTTCTTTTCAGTGATTACCACCACGTACGGATGTGATTAAAGTTCTTGAACATTAATTTCTTCACCAAACATCAAGTGACGAGGGGCTGTCTTAGATTTTTTATTTTTTTTGGGGAATCTCAAAAAAAATTAAATTTCTCTTGAAATGGTTACTAGGTATTCTGATTCTGTGAAGTTTTGAAATTTTTAATTTTTTAAATTTTTTTGGGCATCTCAAAAAATTAAAATTTACTCAAAAAGTGGGTGGCCACAGGTGTTCTAAGCCATTTTGTGAAATTTTGAAATTATTTTTTATTTTTTATTTTTTATTTTTTTGGGCACCTCAAAAAATATAAATTTTACTCAAAGTGGGTGGCTACATGTATTCAAAGCAATTCTGTAAAGTTTTGAAATTTTTGATTTCTTAATTTTTTTTGAAAAAATTAAACAAATTTATTATTTTCCCGAAATCTGAATTTTTTTTTATTTTCTCGACATTTTGATGATTTTTTCTGGAATTTTTCAATTTTTTGGGATTTTCTGAATTTTTTTTTTGAAATTTTTATGAATTTTTCGGATTTTTTAATTATTTTTATTCCATTTCTAAAAAAATGGATTTCTGTTCCTGGAAATAGAATTTTCTGTTGTTTATCAAACGGGTTTTTGTTTCAGGAAATAGAAATTTTGTGCTGTTATCAAACGGGTTTCTGTTCTAAAAATAGAAATTTTTTGTCGTTATCAAACGGGTTTTTTTTCTCAGAAACTCATCTAGGAACCGGAAATAGAAAAATCTATTTCTGGTTCAGGAACTCATTCCGGAACAGAATGATTATTATTCGCTACCTTAGCAATCCGACCATGAAAAAATCTCGTATCAAGTTCTCTCTCGATATTCGGTGATCCTCAGGGTATAGTGCAAGATGTAGGAAACACCGCCGCAGCATCAGATCATTCAGACGTGTATAACTGAACTTTAAAACTCTAAATATCTTCTCCTCCATACAGTCTTCATTAAATCTCGCTTCTCTCAACTCATTTAGCGCATTTCTCCACTCCTGGATGTTCGTCATTCCTCTCATGCTTCCTGAAACCACCATGATCCCCAGAGGCAATCCCCTGCATTCCTCTGCGACAGATTGTGCGACACTTTCCACTCCTGGAGAGAAAACAATCAGGTGTCCGAGATTCCTCATGAACAAGTTCCAGGCTTCATCCTCAGGAAGAGGCTCCAATTTGATCACTTCATTGCATGCCATTTGCTTACACAAGTTTGAGGATCAACTTGTCAGAATTAACTTGCATCCGTTGAAGCCAAGCTGAATTCCGACCTCTTCTAGACCATACGAGCACCATATGTCATCCAGAATAAGATATGTCTCTCTCTTTAGAAAGTGCGACAGTTCCGCTGCCCGTTGAATTTGGTCATTGACATTCGACAGGGTACGGTCTAGACATTTGGCTCTCTTATCCTGCAACATATGAACACTGCACTCTTGGGAAACCGTAACCCAAAGGACCTTCCCATTTGTGCTTTCCTATAGTAGATTGTCGCGACCTATCTCACGAGGGCCAAACTTGATAAGGCGGATTTAGAGGTAAATGTTCATGAAACGGTCCATACGGCACATCATAAAAGACAGCTTACCGAAGCGTCAATCTTTTAGTCATCCGTATGGTCCATTAATCATGAGCGCGGATCTTTCCTAATTCATATCTCGCGTGACAGCAGATCAATTTTATCTTTTTTAAGAGTCGCCACTAGCCTATGTCGAGGATCGACTAGAATACCCAACCAATACGCAGGAATTTCGTATTGATTTCTGCGAGAACCAGAGATCATAGGTTCGGGAACTAGCTTACGTTAATATTTCTATTAACGCCCTTTCGGTACCGTTAAACTTATCAAGGTTGTTATCTAAATTATCATGCATTTATTTTTTCACCATTTTCATGCCAAAGTCTTAGTTCACTAAGTGATCATGCATTTTGTTTTTGTGTTTTCATTTAAGATTCTAAGCTAATCCTATCTTAGTCTAGAAAAGAAAGAAAGAAACAATTGTATTGAAAGACATTGTGTAAAGTAAACAACCAAGGTATTGAAAAAGCAAAGCTAATTCTAAATGCAAGAAAATAAAACCCGCAACTCGTTAGGTGTTTATTACAACACGAATTGAAAGCCCGAGACATATGTCGAGTAATGAATGAATTTTTACAATTGAAATGGTCGGAGAGGACATCGACCATCACCGTTTACAAGGAATAGGGTCGGAACGGACATCGACCTTCATCATCTTCAAGACCGCCGTCTTCTTGGACCTATTCTAATTCTAAAGCTAAACTAGACTAGGTACATACAAGGGAAATGAACATCATAATGTTCACAAAACACACAATAATTGTCCATACAAGAGAACGCAATATGCAAGAAGATGCAAAAATGCAAATGTAATCACAACAATGGCCTCGAGATCGGCCTTTGGTTTAAACATGCGTCGTCCTCATCTAACGACCTGCCCACTCCATTTTAATGATGACTTATGTACATTAGCCACCAAGCACGTTCGTTTATAGTGACTAACGTGACATAGTCCCTAATTGGGATTCTATGTGAAGTCATAGATATCCCCTCGAGCATGCATCGGTTCCTATCATACATCTAGAAAGCACATGCATCAAGCTTAAAATAAGCATGCAAGCAGGTCACAAAGACCTTCATTCTCATCCAATCACTCAAATTAGTGAACCGACGTCGGGTCACTTCATTCCATTCATCACGCACCAATTTATTAAGAGAAAGACAAAGAACAGCAGAACAAGGGATACAAGATGTATTCAATTGGAAAAGGACCCATGATTAAAAAAGTTCTGGAAAATTTATGGTAGCTTAAGCATACAATGAGGAACAACTTTCGTAGAGAAAATTTTCCTGAAAAATGTTCACATGATTTTATAAAAATTCGGGAACACAATTAAATGTGTCAGAAAAAAAGGATTACTGCAGTTTTTGTTGTAAAGATGAGGCCATTTGCCCTATCATTTGTTGTTCAAAACTTCTGGAATTTTGACACAAGATAGTTCAAAGAGTGTCCTACATCTTTCATTAAGATTCTGACCTCTGATTCCTTATAGAAAAATTGATAAAAAAAATCAACAAGAGGTCTAACTCACTTTGGACAGAACAGGGGTTCCGAATTTACAAGTTGCGGATTCTAATGCAAACTTGTAGAAAAAATGAAAAATGTCATAAATGGCAAGCAAATGACATGTTCCTGGTGTCTATGGAAGTTACATAACATGTATGATGACTTACCAAGAGGGCATGAATCTGATTAAGTCCAACTTTAGGTTTAATTTTCATGAAAGTATGTCAATGCACTAACTAGTATCAATGACATTTTATGGATGACAAAGATGAACTAAAATGATGCATGAAATGTATGAAAATTTAACATGGATTAGGACTAGATGCAATAACAAAGAGGATATAATCATCTAATCCTAATTACATGAGCAAATGATCATACAAGTCCATGAACTATTAAGCGTGAATCAATGTTCATGATGCATAAAATGCAATATAACAAAACGTGGTAATATATTTGTGCATGATTTTAATCTACCAAATGACATGCAAAAAATACATGTAATACGTCAATGCGAAGCTTGAATAGCCCTTTACAAAAGTCTAGAAGACTCCATGTTCTGATTGTGAACAGAAAAATTCCTATAAAATTGGCAAGAGTGCTACATGAATAGCTTAATCTCTAATTGACAGATTTAGGGGTTAAGGAATTTCAATTGATTAAACACACTAATGACGAGCAATTGATGCATGGAGAGTGTCACTAGTGAATTAGCATGACGCTCTATGATGTTCATGAAGGTCACTTGAACAATTAAGTCCAATTTTACAATGAATTTTGCAGGAATGCAATTCGGATCAGTACAGTGCAGAATAAACAACCTGAGAATATGAGATGATTTCAGGTACCAAATATTGCCTACAAATTCTAAAAAAAATATATGACATGCATGAGACCTGAATTTACAAGTTCACAAAATGATGTAACTCGAAAATCGATTTTCCCTGCTCTGTACAAAAATAGTAAAATGTGCAGTTTCAGTTCGGTTACAGCCAAAAACTAACTTATCCTTGCTGCAACTTTGAAAATCGATTTCAGGTGCCAAATGAACTCCGATCAGGGATTTCTTTAGCATTTTAAAGACTGATTTGAGTGCTTTACATACTTCGTTAAGGACTCTAAGCCAGAAAATGTCGATTTCAAACTCAAACGAAGATGTTTCCAAAACTGCTCATCAGTAAACCGAACATGCAACCATCATTCAATCAGCTCACTCCGAGCCTCCGATCACACAATCAACTCATCATCCTCCATATATACATCAGCAGCATCCCTTAGCATCTATCCATGGCAAGCCTAAGGCGAGTTCTAGCCCCGGACGCCTAACGCATCCTCGTTTCATCGAACTCAGGTTAGAGGAGTATACCTTTGTGCGTTTAAGCCTTGATTTCGTCAAAACCGAACTCCACAGCCTACAATGGATGATTATAGAATGCTTAAAGATCTGAAATCACTAAAAAATTGCCAAAACAAACCTAAAAAGGTCCGGTTAAGCTACAAGAACAGAATCGGGTCCGGTTTGAACCCGATCTATACACCGGTGGAAAAAGAAACGCCGAAACTCCTCCGATGGTTGTCCGGCCACGTCCCGACCTCCTAGTGGTTGGGGACACGTCGAGGAAAGGCTTGAGAGTGATCGGACCACTTGGAACAGCCGTAATCAGCAGCGGCAAGCAGAATCGGTTTGATTCGCCGGTCTTGAGCTCGATCGGTGAGGGGGCTGGACGGGATGACAGAAGTGACAACCAGAACTGCTGCTGCTTCGATGACGACAAGGAGAGGTTGAGGAACGCCGAGGAGTATGGCGCCGCCCGGGAACTCGCCGGCGAGAGACCGGCACCGGCGAGAAATCGCCGAACTGTACGCGCGAGAAAGGGAGAGGCGAGGGAGAAGAGAACGCCGGAGAGAGGAGGAGAGAGCACCAGAGAGAGAAAAACCCAGAGAGTTCTAGATTTTTTTTCTAAAAAATGAGACCTCTCCTTTGAGTTGAGGAGGGAAAATGGGTTATACACCCCCTCAAGATTCAATCTCGACCGTCAATTTGATCCGACGGTTGAGATTTGTGCTTATCTTTCATTTGGAGATTAAGTAAAGACCTCATTTAATATGTGCTAATTTGAATGATCATGATTTAATCTCATCAACGGTTTTGATTAATTTTGTAATTAATTATCTAATTAGGGTCATTTTTATAATTTCACAAAATCCGGAGATTTTTTCGACAAAATTTGCAAACTAATCGAAATTGAATTCAATTAAACTTGTGAAATGCTTATTGAACCAATTGTCCATGCTTATAGTGACATATATTGCATTTAAATTTACACTAAAATGGACGCGTGACCTCCATGTCAAAATTAAATTGAAAGCCCATGTTGAAATTGAACCTCAATTCATCAAATTAAACTTTAGTCTTGAATGGGTCAACTTGAATTTCGTCAATTGGACCTTAATAACCCCTAATCCCTAAATTCAAGTGAGCTAAATGTGTAAAATTGGAGAGTTCTCAAGTGAATTTTGCAAAGTTGACCCCGGATTCGCGTTTATCTCACAAAAATTAGTCAAACGATACCAATCATTCGATAATCGTGAACAATTGATCCAAACCCCTAATTAGGGCTAAAATTAGGGATTTTCATTTCAAAGTGCCGATTCACAAAATTGGTCGAACGAGTGATCTTATGATGACCTCTGGATCAAATGTCGTAATAGGAACTAAGCTAAAATATGAACAAAATGAAAGTAATTTTGGTTTTCGCCGATTCCGAACCTATTTCCGCACACTGGGGAAAAGTAGGTTCTTAATCGGTTTTTGAAAAATTTCAAATGCCAAAGTCAAATTGAATGTAAAATAAGATGATTTTGGAATTTTTGTATTTTTTTAATTTTTTTGGTCAAAGATTTGATCAAAAGTCAAACCCCAGTTGACATTTTACTAGAAGCTTGATTTTATGATCAAATCTTTGAATTTTTCTGAAATTTCCACTTCTAAAGTGAAATTGGATTTAAAAGGAATCTTTTTATGCGAAAGTCCCAATTTGACTCGAGGTTAATTTTGGTGAAAGGGTTGACCAAAAAGCCAACGCTAAAGTTAACCGTTTGACTTTCGGGTTTTTGCATGAAATGAATAGAAAATTGTTTACAGAAGCTAGGCCAATAAACAGAATTAAAAAACGACACTTTTTATTCAAGAAACGGGTTCCTTTTAATGACGTGTCGGATAAAAATTAGGTGTCAGCATAGATGATTGTGGATGTGGGTGACAAGGGCCGTTTTCCCAACACCGCCCATTCCACAAATGCCGATCTTCAACACTTTGTCATCTCTCAGGCGAGACAATATCTTATTCAGATTCTTCCGAAAAGCGTCCCCTGATAATTCCACGGTTGGAAGCTCATGGCCAATGGTCTCCTCCGCAATTAATGTGAGTCCACAAGTGAATTCACCTTGCTTTTGAAGTTCATCCACCTGCTTGATCAACTCCTTCGCTCTATTTACTAAGTTCACGTGTGAATACCATCTTCTATCTGCGACTTCTCGCTCTAAGCATGATACTTTGGCTTTTGTCTTCTTCACGTCTCGTAGCCAGTCATCAACTTCTCTCTTCCTCTTCCTTCCGAGCTTAGATTCTTCGTTTTTTACTTGTGAAACTACATCATCTTCCTTACCAGTTAACTTGTCCCGTTCGCAGAGAAGCGTTTGCATCTTCTGGTCAAGACCAGTGTAATTCTTTATGAGCTCAAAAATGCCAAGTATCGTCGACGGTTCCATTCCTAAGACAGGGAAAGAACAGCTTGTAAATCGACCTCTTCCATTTTCCTTCCACCCCCCACCCGCAGTCACTTTGGCCTATATGATATTGCTAAATAAAGATCTGAAGATCATATATACAAAATAGTACGTGCCCACACACACAAACACCTATTCCTGACACAAACACGTATTCCACACACACAAACTCATCGTTTCTGCTAAATTTTAAGGGCAAAGGCACCTCAAGGATCATCATCTCTGCAGACAAGTTTATTACTAAACATGCAACGAAATTGGACACTTCAGAAAAACTGGAGAGTACGAACAAGAGTACCTTGAGCCAAGTCAAAGTGGGCTAAACAAGTTGCTGCACTGCAAGAAAATTTCTAGAGAGAGAAGCTTTGAGCTATGGCGGAGAAAACACCCCCATTCTGTGGTGACATCATATGATTCAAACGAAGCAGATGCAAGAGTTTCAGTGCACGAGGGTAGGAAAAAAGGATGGAGGAAGACCGAGGACTACTTAAGTCAGTCCACTCGACAGTAGTAACATTAGAACTCAAGTCGACCCATCGCTTGAGGACTTAAGTCATTCCAGTCGCTCCATAGAGCAACAAAGTCTTCAATGGAAAATGCTTGGGTAACCGTCCTCCGTCATCAAACCAAATAACGGGCTACTATTCACCGTTCATTTTGTAGCATGTTACTCGATAACCTTCTTTGCCGGTTTGTTTCACATGATTTCCTCCTCGGATAAATGTACTGCGCTTTCCACCACTTGATGGTCTTACTCATACAGGAAATTAGTTATGTAACAGTGACAAATATAAACACAGTGTATTGAGTTACTTTTAAACAAATGACATATACTAATATTTCGAAACGATAATCCCGGAAACGTATCATCTAATTTACTTGATTTAAATATTATATATAAAGAAGTTAGGATATGTAAATTGATGTCGCGTAAAAATAATAAATTTAAATCATTTGGCGTCAGATGTCTCATTGATTTTACACCAACTAGTATGATGCGTTTTAAAGTCGTGTAGGTACAAATATCGTGCTGGCAGAGGTCGATTGGGGCTGCCTACTTTGTTAAATAAGGGCACTAATATTGGAAGATGTCGCAATATTGCAATGATAGGTGACTCTTTTACCATCTCAAACTAGCATGGTCCATTTCAATGCCACACATGCACGCATGAATCGATTATAAATATATATATTAGTGTAATATCTTCAAGGTCGTAATTTTAACATAAAACCCACAAGTAAATTGACTAGTCAGCATTGGACGAATAAATTGAAGAACTTATCCCGTACACAGGAAATAGAGTATATTTTTTTCTTTTTACAAAAGCCATAAATTTTTCTTTCATTTTACAAAGTAGTCTTTAACTTACATTAGAATAATTGTCTAACGTAAATAATAGTTATGTAACATGATTTGAGAACCGATTATGTAAAGAATAAATAACACCGATAATGTATTGGTGCTTTTTTTTTTTGATCGAAGTATTGGTGCTTTTTAAATAAGTCCAATTTTGTAAGTTCATAGACTTTAATTTTTTGTCAATTCCTATCGCGAAAATATATATCTACTGGTGGAACTATTAGACAAAAAGGTCGGTTTAATGGTCATGGTTATTTTTGAGGATATGAAATGACAGAAACGGATGAGAAGAAAACTATTTTTAAAAAAAAGGTATGAAATGAAGAGTGACTGATTTGCTTGGTTTCCGGTCTTTCAGTTGGAAAACTTGTGGTCACTATTGCTCCGTCATTCCTAAAACTGACGGAGCGGTCATTGTAGCAGGATCCTTATTCAATTGCTGTGCTTTGTTTCGGTTCGGAAATTGCATGCATCATTCCTTTTGGACCAAGTAAAGCCATTTTCTCCTTGTAACATTAAAATGCGGATCCGTGCATGACTTGAAAATTTGAGACTTGAATCCGATACGGAAAATGACAAACAGTTTTTAAACTTTGACCCAATATGTAATTTGATTCATGAATTTTTAATTTATTTAATATAGTCCATAAACTTTAGCCTAATGTTCAATTTGGTCACTGAACTTTTAGTTTGTTCAATGTGGTCCATGAACTTTTAGTACATGTTCAATTTAATCTCTGAACTATTTGAAAATGTTCAATGTAGTCCTTCCATTAATTCAAGTTCAGGGACTACATTGAACATTTTCATATTGTTTAGGGACTAAATTGAACATGTATCCTTACCAAAAATTATTTCCTTACCAAAAAAAAATTGAACATGTACTAAAAGTCCAGGAACCACATTGAACATTAGGTTAAAGTTCAGGGACTACATTGGACTATATTGAACAAATTAAAAGTTCATGGATCAAATTGCACATTGGACCAAAATTCATGGACTGTTTGTGTCATTATCACCGATAAAATTGGTCCGAAAAATGACGATGTTTCGCCCATGTTGTGCCGGATCGATCCTCTCTTAGTTCACCCGGCATGCCATCTACTAAATTTTAGTGGGGGGAAATACATCTTGTTCTTTTGGATGTTTTCATTTTGGTCCCCATGCTTTCATTTGTTTCCGATTTGGACTCTACAAAATTTACAAAAAAGACCTGCCAAAATGGTTTGTGGAATCTGGGGGACGAATTCGGAAGCAAAATACCTGGATCAAGGACTAAAATGAAGAAAGCGGAAGTAAATATGGATGGAAATGAAGAACTGCCCACAGTACAAGGTCAAAAGCATAATTTTTGTCCCTTCTTGTCGAACCTCTTCTGGTCAAAGCTTAAACCCTTCACCACAGCGAAGCTCCGGTATCGTGAAAGCCCCTGCCAGTCCGGCAGTCCCCCAGCTCTCGCAGCGATGGCCCTAAGATACTTCATCAATGTCCTGAAAAGTCGTCGGAACCCCTCGAGGATCAACACGTTCTTGATGAGATCCTACTCCGCCTACGGAAGGTTCGTCAAGAAGGACCTCTTCTCAAGAATCAGCCCCATCGGCGACCCGAACCAGAGCGTCGCGCCGGTTCTTGATAAGTGGGTCGAGGAGGGCAACAAAGTCAAGGGCTTTGACCTCAAGAGCATCATTCGCGACCTCCGATCTCGTAGACGATATACCCATGCCCTTCAGGTGACTTCTCTCTCTCTCTCTCTTCTTGTGTGTAGTTTTTCCCTTGTGTCATTTTCCATTGATAAAGCGATGGGTAGCTCTTGCTCGCGAGAAGGTGCAGGAAAGTAATGGTTGATACTTGCTGATCAAGGGACTGTCTGGGCTTGATTCTTTTGTTCGAAAAGCTTAAAACTTTCTGTAACATGTAAATTTTGACAGGGAAATGCACATACTTTTTTTGTTTTATAATTCTTTTAAGATTTATGTAATGGAGTACTAAAGAGTTCATTCTCATGCTCTGCTTTCTAGCGGGCACCTGTTTTGATATTTCCATGATTGTCGAGAAATGTTTAGATGGTCGCGGAGTGACGATCGTTCCGTGTTCGCCCAAGCCCATCTTACTTGCGAAATGTTGTCACTTTGAAAGGGAAAAAGGAAATCCGTAAATTGTAACGTCTGCCGTGTGGTGATTGGCTTGATTGGACGGGAATGCCATGTTTCAAGAGTACATCGAACTTGTCTTATGTCCAAGGATAACAGAATTTAGATAAGAGGCTAGAGCTTATGAACTGCCTCTCACTTTCTAGTAAGACCAACGTTTGGACTCTAGGACAAATGAGCAGATGAAGCTAGTAATGACGTTTGTTGTTGCTTCCTAGAATAGATTGAGCACTAATCAGCTATCCGAATTAGCATTGTTTTCTGAGGACACCACTGTGATTTACAGAGAATTATTTTCATGTCCTCTTTGTTTCTTTTTTTTGTAAAAATATTATCCACTTAACGTCATCCACAGTGGACTTTGCTCTCCCTATGAGTAGACCCACAAAGTGAAGCAAACTCAAGATTCATACATTCTCCTTGCATATGCAGAAGTTTTTGGAATATTGCAGCTTTTATGAGTCTTAGATGCTCAGTTTTGGTTCGGCCATAAAAAATTTCTTCTGTACATGATTTTTCTTTCTCCCCACACAGGTTTCTGAGTGGATGAGCAGCAAGACAGAAGGGTTCTTAACGCCAGCGGACCATGCTCTGAAGCTAGATCTAATTGGTAAAGTGCAAGGGGTGGATGTTGCAGAAAATTATTTTAATAGCTTAAGGGATCAAGACAGAGTCGAGAAAACATATGGTGCTCTTCTGAATTGTTATGTCAGGGATTGCGCTGCTGATAAATCTCTTTCCCTTCTGCAAAAAATGAAGGAGATGGGTTATGCTTCGACTGCTCTGACGTACAATTGTGAAATGTGCCTCTACACAAACATTGGCCAGCTCGAAAAGGTTCCCAACGTGCTTTCAGAAATGAAGGAAGCCAATATTTCTCCCGATAACTTCAGCTACAGAATTTGCTTGAGTTCTTACGGTGCAAGATCTGATCTGGACAATATGGAGGATCTTCTGAAAGAAATGGAGCACCTACAGCATGTGTCCGTGGACTGGTCCACTTATGCAGTTGTGGCTAATCATTTCATAAAAGCTGGCATCAAAGAAAAAGCTCTGATTTATCTGAGAAAATGTGAAGAGAATGTGCAAAGAGACTCACCTGGATATAACCATTTAATTTCACTCTACGCAAGTCTTGGGAACTGCAAGGAAGCGAAGAGGTTGTGGGCCCTTAGAAAAGCCAATCGCAAGAGGCAGTCGAACAAAGATTACATTACAGTGCTAGGTTCCTTAGTGAAGCTTGGGGAGATAGAAGAGGCTGAGAAATTGCTTCGCGAATGGGAAGGGTCTTGTGAATTCTACGATTTCCGCGTGCCAAATACTCTCCTTATTGGATACTGTCAGAAGGGATGGCCTGAAAAGGCCGAGCAAATGCTACGTGGCATTGTCAAGCAAGGGAAAACTGCCATACCAAACAGTTGGTCCATTGTTGCGGCAGGTTACGTAGACAAGGATAACATGGAGAAGGCATTTGAGTGCATGAAAGAAGCCCTGGCTTTACAGTCCCAAAGCAAAGCATGGCAACCAAAAACCCAGGTGGTCTCAATCATACTGAATTGGGTTAAAGTGAACAGAGCCAATGAAGTAGAATCGTTCCTAAGTTCATTGAACACTGTACCGAGCTTCGATCAAAAGACAATCGATCTGTGGGAGATGGTCAGTGCTGATGGCTCCAATGAGGATATTATGCAAGAGAAGAACCTTTAAACGGAAAAAAGGTTGGATATAATAAACAAAACGGTTATGTTCAGGATTCAGAAAACCGGTCGGTATATCTTTCAATCTGCTTGTTGATGTTCCACATTTCGGTGTCCCGTTGTGAGCTGAGAAGAAGAGTGCCTATTCCTGGAAAATGTCTGCGCTTTCTCTTTCTCTCTAGTATAGTTTTTAATGTTCTGCGATAGCACTTTCACTTTTGCTTTTGCCAGGGACATTGTTGCCGCGTCTCCTCCCGTATAAAGCATTGCTGCCATTTCCTTTGCTACCGCTTCGTCACTGACGTCACAACACTCGCGGTTACTTTGCAATCACCGACTTTTAGGATTTATAATTGGTGAGCTACAACGCAGGAAAGCATTCCTTCACTATTCTTGGATGGAAGTGTGGAAGAGAAGCGACGGTCGGTATTTGCTTTCACTTTATATGTATCCGATGCAGTAGTCTGTGACACGACACTGTAAACAATGCGCCCCGAAATGCCGAGACAAAAGGCGAACCGTGGCTAGGGTTTCGATGCATGGAAGGAAGAGGAGAACATATTGCCGAATGCAGCAGCCATCAAAGAAGAGAATGCAGGACCCAGGATTCATGGAAGAACAATGGGGAAAAAACACTGTTGTGTCAATCACTTTCCTATTGTCCTAGTTTTCCTCCTTGTTGTAAGTGAATGATATGAGTATTGTGTGGTTTCTTGTTCCCTGAATAGATTCAATGGACTTCAAAGAAATCACCGTTTTTTCTCAATATCTACTCATTGCCATGACATGGTTTGATGCAAATACTGCTGATTTCTTTTTTCTTCTTTTCTTTTTTAATTTTGAGCTGGATAGCTGAATTAGTGAATTGTGCATTGTGTGAGCCAATATTTACTACTTGAACAAATAAAATAAATCCTGGCAAAAATAATAATAAAAAAAAAACATGGAAATTTACAAAATTACCGTACCAATTTCCCCCTTGTACCCTTGAGTCCAACGCCATGGGAAAACGTTTATGCAAAGTAAAATACTATTGACAGTTCTTTTGAAGTTCTTACCTTCTTGTCCCTCTGTACAATTTTTCTCCAACTAAACTTCAGTTTAGCATCGAAGAAGCTAATGATTAGCAAATTGTGGTTATCACTAACCTTGATTAAGATTGACTATCAACAAAACTATAAACCTAACCAGTGGCACGTGATGTAATTAGGGGAAAATGTATGGGTTAATATTCGGAGTTTTGAAAGAAACGAGTCACTTCTATGGCCCGGTAATTGTATGGGCTTTTTTAGAAATAAACCCTCCGATTGAAGGGCGCCCCGAATTTATTTCCTTTCTCGGAAAATCGGCAGGAAGCCGGAGAAAATGCGAGAAAAATCGGAAGAAGAACGAAAATCCAAGGGAAAATCCGGCGAAGCTCCTGATACGGACAGGAGGATGCGCGAAAGCTCCGAGACCAGCAAGAAATCGCGAGGGAGCTCCGACTTGGGGAGCGGAGAAGGTAAATCTGGCAGGAGGAGCGAGAAAACCAGGGGGAGCTCCGATTCCGAGGAGACTGAGGAGAGGAAGCGGAGGAAGAGCGACAAGACGAAGCGGAGGAGGTCGCGGCGGCGACGGCACAGTAGTGAGTCGGGTTCGGGCGATTCGAGCTCGGAGGAGGATGCGGAATCGGGATCGGAATCGGAGGGTTCTGATTCGGTGAGCGAGAGCGAAGAGGAGAGGAGGAGGAGGAAGAGGAGGGAGAGGAGGAGGAGGGAGGAGGATAGGGAGAGGGAGAGGGAGAGGAAGAGGAGGAAGAGAGACAAGGAGAAGAGGAGGAGGAGGAAGAGAGACGATGAAGAAGAAGACGGGGAAGAGAGAAGAAGGAAGAAGAAGCAGCAGAAGAAAGAGAGGAAGAAGAGTAAAGAGAAGGAGAGAGCAGAGAAGGGTAAAACCGGTGCAGTGACCAACTCCTGGGGGAAATACGGGATCATCAGAGAAACTGATATGTGGTAATGATTTCATCTTTCATTTCTCGTGCTATTTCATGCCTCTTTGTTGATGCTAGAGGGGGGGAAAAGTTGTTCTCTTGTGGAGCATATCTGCTATGCTTTTGCCGATCGAGTGTGAACTTTCTCATATTGTATCTCATAGATGATGAATGGTTACCGTGTGAATGAAAGAACCTCATAAAAAAGTCTTTTTTCTTTTGTCTAGTGCTTACAATTATTTGGTGTTGGTACTGGGTGAATTATGTCTGCACGAGTGGTCAAGAAGAAGATGAACACAAATTAAATTATTGTAATCTGTTTTTGAGATGGCCGAATCAGGAACGCTGGACTGTAGGCTGTTATTGTTTGCCACCCTCGCTGTTTGTTCGCCATTATGCTTTGATCTTGCAATGGGTTTTGTGTCCTGTTGCTTGAAAAACTGAAAGAATTGTTGGAGATGGAGAGACTTGTTTATGCCATCAACAGTAAGATTTAGTTAGTTTCTCTTTGTAGCGAATGGCAGGATGACAAAATAATGCTTCTAGGCCTGCTTTATATAAGATCAAGTTTAAAATGTCGTTGCATATTTCATCTTTATATGGAACGATGATAGGGCTTGATATAATAATTTGGTTGCTTTAGTTTGACTTAGGGATCACAACACAAGTCGGAAGGATACTCACTCTTTCCACTTTTTTCTCTTCTATAAATCACGTTATGCAACCCAGATGCCCTTACCCAGCGCTTTGCAGTGTGCTCTTCTCTGTTCGTTCTTATCAGGTGTTATGATTCGGTGGACTTGATAAATATATGTTGCAGACAGCAGAATTTGCAGTTGACAATTTCTGTTGGACTGCAAATTCTGCTGGAGATGCATTGGAGGATTTTCTCAGACTCCTAGCAACAAAAGCACACGGAATGAGACAATATTGGAATGGATATCTTTTAAAACCTGTTTAGGATTAGAATGCCATTGATAAATGGAAGTTTAGGTCTGGTTAAATGTAATGAAAATTTTATCTTTTCGTTATATACCTTTGCTGAGATTGGACGGGAAATTATTCGCTTCGGTGAGGCACCCCTACCACAATGTAACAAGTTCTGGTGGAACCCTCTGATTCCCATGAAAGTTGCAACTTGTGATTATTTCATAACTCACTATAAACTTCTCTTTCACAATTGTTACAAATTTTTACATGTTTAAACTGGAAGGGCCAATTGTCAGAAAATGCTTTCTAGGACCATGAATTTACATGGTTTATCAATTTTGTCACCCTTATCTTGTATTTTCCTGGTTCTGTATTTTGCTTAGCTTCTATGCGTTTATTGATCTTGTTCTAATGCATGGACATTAAATTGCTGCAGGAATAAACGTCCTGAGTTCACTGCTTGGTTAGCAGAAGTAAAACAGGTACTTCCTTCTGGTTCATTTCGCTTCCATATTTTATGATTATATCAAGATAGATGCACGTGTCTGTAGACTGCCCATGACATATGTATCTCCTGAATAAGACACTGGTCGTGCTTTTTTAGGTGGGTACAACATCTTGAACCTCCCCCCCCTTCTCTCTCTTTTCCCAAGGAAAAAACCCGACTGATACACCAATCCCAAATCATTCTTTTCCTTAAAGAGCTTTGTTGTATTTAAGCTTTACATAGTGCCGAAGCTCTTGATGTGACTTTTGTTGCTTCTTGGAGCGAGGAACTCCTTATATGGAGCAAAACTATTGAACTCGAGGACAGAGACTTATTTACTGGCTACATTTTCCCATTAATTGAGGTAAATAATACCCTCGGCCCCCCCAAAAATAAAAAATTAATAAAAAATGAAGGTTATGATATGTTTGCTGTTGGCTTCCCTAGAACTTTTCCTTCTATCTCTAATGTTCACAGCAACCAAGTCATCTAACACAGGCAGCTTTTTGGGACATTAAGTTTTCTCAATCACGTATTATTTTGGTTCTGAAATTAAGTATTATTTTATCATTAAAGTGCAGTGACATTTTTTATGCACATTTTAATTGCTTGTGCATTGCATTGCAGGTGAACCTGGAAAGCCTGGCTAACTGGGAAGAGAAACAGATGTTTAAAGAGTGCGTAGATACTTTATTTATTGATGACATGAGTCTTATATTGTGCAAACATTTTTTTCTCCCAACTATGTTGCCATTATCTAAGATACATGGACTTATTTTGCAGGTTTATGGAAGACCATAACACAGCTACCTTCCCTTCTAAAAAGTAAGATTTCTTTGGTTTTTCTTGTGTTATAATACCTTTTGCTTTCATTATAATTCCAGGTTTGTTTAACCTAAGCATATTATTCCTGATGTTTTGACTTATTATCATGGAGATTCTTTTCTGATTATACAGTGTCTATACTTCACTCGATGAGTTTAAGTCATAATCCACTTGTGTTTGATTGCAGGTATTATGACCTTGATGCTTATCACCGACACCAAATGGAAAAGGAGATGAAAAAGGGTCTCAAGAAGGTTGTTTCCAAAGAACGCACAGTTTTCAATGATGAAGAACAGCGTCGGTATGTCCTTCCTCTGCAAGCTAGATTGTATGAATATATCCGTTGCTGCTCTTTAGGAAAGATGGAGATATCATTTATTAATTATGGCCTCAACGTTTTCTGTGATTGATGGGATTATCCGTGCATTTGTTTATGTTATCTTCCAAAAAAAAAAACAGAAAAGACGAATCCTGAGATCTAGTGGAATACGTGGCAACTTCATGTGATCAATTGGCTTGGAAGTGGGAAAAAAGATTACCAAGAGCTTTAATTGTCATGAAATCTGCTTTGGTACATGTCCTAGTAGCGACTTGAAGTTGACGATCATCCTTGTCGTTGGAGTTGATAAGATGGTTGTGTCACAGTAGCACCTATGCTCAAACAGCAAGAGCATGAGCAACTTGCTATGTGGCTTGGGGCATATCGGTACTTTTTGCTAGAGTAATTATAGGTTTAATTACTATGTGAATGGTTTGTTGAATAATGTTGGTGGGTATTTGAAGTAGGCCATATTCGAACACCGAAAAGTCTCTGTGACACCACTTTGATCTTTCCACCTAGATGTAACATTTCTCACTTCAATCAATCACCTTTCTGTCCATTTCCCCCCTCCTTTTCAGGCAAGAAATGATGCTAGTACGTGAAAGGCAGAAAGAGCAGGAGGTTGAAACTTTGAAGCGGTCAATGCAGGGTGGAATGGTGAGTTCGTAGCTTCGTATCTAGCTCCAGTTAGTTTGATTATGTCTCTGTGACTCTTTATCATTTGCAACTTTCAACCTTATCAATTGTGTGATTTGAATCCGAATACCAGGCACAAGCAATGAAAGAACAGGCTCTGTTGAGGGAAGAGATGGCTTATCAATATAAGCTTGGGAACTTTGAGGTGAATGTACATATTTTTCAGTCCGTGACTGGTTATGATTAGTGCCTAACTTTCGAAATGTTGATGACTGGCATTGTAGGCCGCGGCTGCCATTCAGAGAAGATTGGATCCAAATATCGCCATGTGATGCATCATGGCCATGCGTCGCCCTTGTTAAATTATGGAAATAGCGATGAGACTATCCATTTGAAACTCGTTTCTGATGTTCCCGCTTGATGCACCGTCATCACCTCAAATTTTTGGACATGAGAGGTTATCTCTTGGATGTACAAAGTTTGTGTAATTGCAGGGTCTTACTTCGTTGTTATTTGCCCTCTCCAACTGTTTTATTCTTATTTAATCTGAAAAAGTCTACTTTGGGGTCTTCTTCTGTGGGCTCTAAGTAAATTAAGTTTGCAAGAAAAGAAAAACTCCGTTCTTAATATATGATATAATAATCAGCATTATGGTCGGCCAGCCTGGTGCACAACAGATGCGGGTGGCTCTGTTTCTTATTCTGACGATTTGCACGTGACTGCATCTGAGAGATGAGATGTGACATCCGGAAATTTCGTAATTATATGTTTGTGACGTTAGAAATTTCTATGTTTGAAAATGATACTTAGATTTAAAGCTAAGTATTATTTTCGAGTTAGTATTCGTGTGGACGCGTAGGAATTTTCGTTGGATCGTATTTCGCGAAGCGCGGATTCGGATACGTAATCGTACCGAGTCCGACGTGTTTCATATTTAGACGTTGTCGTGTGCGTTAATCGTAGTGCGGTATTAATTAGATTACCGTCGTCTTGGTAATTAGTGGGCATTATTATTATTATTATTGTTTTATCTTAGTTAAGTAAGGTTATTGCCGTAAGAAAAAGAGGGAAGAAATCTGCTCAAAAATATCCTCTGGACTCTTATTTCCCTCACGTGGCTGTTGAAGAAGAGTTGACCGAATGCCATTTGTCCCCTTGGGCTAGACACCTAAGCCTTGGGTAATCATTTCCCTTGGCCAATACTCCTACGATTAAGCTGCTGATTTCTTCCACCTGGCCTTGATGAAGAGATAAGATGCCACCTGTGAATACAATGAATTTACCCACCCCTTCGAATACCTCTCCGTTTTCACTTTCGCCTGGGTAATTACCGAAGATCATTTTCACCCAAACCCATACTCTCTCCTTCACTTTCTACTCTCGCCATCACCGATCCAAAATTTCCGGAAGAGTTTTAACCTTTGGGGTGTTCAGATTCTGTTCAAGGTAAGTGAAAATTCTAGGTTTAAGCTAAGTAAATCTACTTGGCACTTGCAACTTGGTTGCTTGAGAAAGGTTATTTTGAGGTGCAATAGTGAGGTTGTGATGACGGTTGAATCTGTTTTGCTGGTTCTGTGCAAGTTCAAATGGATGTGATTTGTTTCCTTAAAGTATGGCGATAATATCGGCAAGCGGAACGATTAAATCGGAATAAGTAAGTGTAAATTTTGAGGTGATTGTTGGATTCTTACTATTGGTTTATGTATGTTTAAAAAGGGTAGAAAATCGTTTTACTCAAAGTGATGATTATGTTTATTGTGATACTCAAAGTGCTGATGATGTTTATTTGATTCTCCAAGGGATGTTTTTTTGTTTATTTTTGAAACTGGGCAGATTTTTAATCCTCAAAATTTGGTTTTGTGTACCTTGAAACTGCTAAGACTTTGTTATTCTGACGATTTGCACGTGACTGCATCTGAGAGATGAGAAGGATACTACCCTGGACCAGCATCACACCTTTGGCATGGCAAAGAAAGATATCCTGGTTCGGCGTGCAGAAAGTAATGGGACAGCCATGTCTCGGAATTCGAAGTTTCGCTCTAGGGTGACGGAGAACGAGCGGAGAGAGTTCAATCCGCCGCAAGTTCCACTTGCTGGAGGGGTATTACAAGTTGCAAACGAAAGAAAAGAGAGATACAGTCATCATAACTCGTGTGCACTTGGGATTTAGACGCACCAGGTCCGATCAACCTTGAACAGGATTGATGCGGTCTTGACTCGCGAGGGTATTGTAGATACGCACGCAACCACATGGGGAGAGAATGGACGACAGGAGGCGCGTTCTCCCCCTTTGGTATGCGTTTCAAAGATCGATATCTGCTACTCGTTGACGTGACTCAATTTGTTATCTAGATCTCAATCGTTCGGAGGGTTAATTGACTCCGATCGATTAGAAAATTCTAAAAGCATACTCGATCCTTATTTTTTTTTTCTGAAAAGAATTTAAAGTACAAACTTATTCCAGATAATACCCTCGTGTTTGGATGGTGATCAAGAGTCGAGTACAAAGAGAGCGAATAAAGAAACAAGAGTTGACTCCAGGAACAGATTGTCTCAGTTGAAAGTTTCTTAAACTTTGCTTGGTGATCGGGAAACGAAGAGAAAAGAAAGAGAAGGAAAGTCAAATTACCGTGTTTGGATGCGTGTTGAGCGAAAATGAGGAGCCGTGAAATTAATTCTGCGAATAGACTTCATTATCTTTCATCTTTATTCACTATTAAAAAGAAAGTAGGGGCAATCTTGAAAGAAAATGGCAGCATTTGCATTTCCTTCCATATCTAATGGCTGTTCATCCCCTTCCTTTGTAACTTTCCCCTAGGAAGGAGAGAGAAAGAGAGAGAGAGAGAGAGAGAGTTGTTAATTTCATCTTCTCTAATCCACCTTCCTACTTAATGTCCCTATCAACCCTAACATAAGATAAGTGCAGTTGACAAAGCCACATCCTCACAGGCATTAGGCCCGGTTTGCATCACCTTTCCATGTATCATGTTGCCGCAAGACAGCCTCGGCCTCCGCAAAGCAAAACAAGAAACCTAAATGCCAAGTTCAAACGTGTCTGCATAAAACTAAAGAAACGATAGAGATCATTTCAGGGGGTAAGATGAGGGGCTTACAGGAGCCAAGTCTCCGCCAAACAAAATACAAACTCAAATTGACAATCCGTTCTAAATGTCATAAGCAACTAATCCTAAGTTGCTTGCAGGTAGCACCAGGATTGCAAATCTGGTCCCGAGTTCATCACCTCAGACCGATGTGGATTTTCTACCGTGCAAGGTGTTCTACACCCTCGTGTACCATGTACCAGAGTGGGACAATGACCTAAAATGTAGAAAACTTGTTCTTCCTATTTGCAAATCACTGTGAATATTAAAGAATATGTCACATTGATCAAACATCGCAAAGAAGAAGTTTACCCCATTTTAAGTGCATCGACCACCCCGGCGATGCGTGCTCCAGGCAGGGAAAATCTTCTTCAGGCACCACAAGCGACAACTATGGTTCACGGAAAACCTGCAAGAATATGCAAGAACAAGCTCTTTCCATTGGATTAATAAATTCCTTAACTTCTACTATAAGAGGAAAATAATGCTTTCCTGACCAATCAGAAACTGCAAACTCCCAATTTGTGTTGCCATCGTAACAAACAACCTGACGACGTACCATCAATGCGCTGACACGCCTCATAGACTCAGAAACCCAAACCATTTATTGACTTATAGAACCAATGAAAGAATCCTGCCGTCTCCAGGCATTTCCTAAGAGAGCAGAGGAATGTAGCTCACATACGGCTCGACTCCTTTAAGAAATGCGGTAAACACCTTTCCGAAAGTAAAACCTCTAAATTAACATAACTTTTCAAATTCTGCGGCATAGGTGCCACGCGCAAACTCAACGTAGCCAAAAAGCAAATTACCATACGCGGTCATCTGCACGTACGTTCACAGCAAATCCTAGTCAATTCAGCTATTTAAAATTGTCGCTCATCAAGTTCATGTAATACCTTAACAAACACAAACGAGTCTACAAGGGAACAAGAAGAACCAGAAAACAAGTTTCTTCACAACCACTATCCCTTATCTCAAATCTTATTCACCTAAGCATGTCTGGCAGAAGCTTGATTAACAAAGCAAATTGTGTAAAAGAGAGCATCAGAAACATCATGATCAATCAGACCATCGAGAGAGAGCAAGAGATTCCCACAGAAATTCGCAAAGAGCACATGAGACCAAGATAAAAGGATGCACAGAATAAAGGAGAACTCACGACACCATCCATATACAACAATCCATGTGTACATCAACACACGGGAGACACCATGTACATGAAACAAGTAGTAGTGCATAACCAAATCGATCTACCTAATCCCCGGTCAGCATAATTACAAATCCGAAAAGGGAAAGAAAGGATCGAATCAAATCAAGCACAACATCTGTACAGCTTGTTCTTCTTAAAAGGCAGAACAGCATGCTGCGAGAGCCCGCATTCCTGCTTGGAGAAGTTAGTCGGGGCGTCGGGCCCGCGGAGGCGTAGCGCAGCCCTGTCGTAGACCATGGCGGCCTCCTCGGCGGTGTCGTACGTCCCCAGCCACTGCCTCAGCCTCCCGTCCCTTATCTCCGCCACCCACCTCCCCCACGGCCTCCTCCTCACGCCCCGGTACTTCCTCGACCCCGCGGTCTCCGCCGTGCTCCTCGCCGCCGCCGCCGCCGCAATTGGTTGGAATTCCGGCCGCGGAGGCTCGATCCTGATCTCGTTGACGTAGCGCTTCACCCTGCGGCCGGGCTGGTGCTGCGACGACTTCTTCGACCGCTCCTCGACCTCCTCGTCGCTGGAGGAGTCGGTGGCGTCGCTGTCGGTGACGGAGATCCGCACCACCCGGACGCCGCTCTTCCTGTCGGCGATCGCGGCCGAGTTGGAGCTGTCGTCGGTGGAGATCGTGGAGTCGGACTCGACCTGGCACAAAGGGGAGGCCTTGTGGCGCTTGGCAAGGGAGGCGTCGATCGCGGCGGCGGGGGAGAGGGAGGAGAGGGTCGTCACGGTGGTCTTCGTGGTGGCGGCGGTGGCGGCGGCGGCGGTTGCGGCGGCGGTGGTCGATTGGGGTGAAGTTGCCATCAAAAGTTGGTGACTTGGGAGAGAGAGAGGATTGCGATCGGTGGAGGAGGTTAGGGTTAGGGCTCGGACCTTTCGAATTGGGGGGATTTGAATTTTAGGGCGATTATAATACAGCTCGTGAATTTTTATTTATTTTTTATTTATTTTTAAGAAGCTCGCAATTTGGTGCGACGTCGGTTTTAGGAATTTCTCTCGGCATCGCGGGTGCGAATATTCACCTGCTAAAAGGCGAAACGACGTCGCTTGCATGCGCATGCTAAATCTGGCTAAAGGTGCCAGCGTTGATGCGTTTTGGATTAGCCGCATCCGGAAAGGGAATATTCGCCTCCCGCCCCTGTATATTTACGTCCGTGCCACCGTAGTAGTATTCCTCTCTTATTGTTACCGTTTGTTGAGAGCATCGTGCCGGTTTGATTTTTCGAATTTCCCGAGTCGAATTCGAGTGGGTTATTAGGGATTTTTTTTTGCGTGCGAGGTTGTGCGCGCATTCGACCGATCGATCTCTCTTTCTCGATTGTTATGTTTTGGGCTCATTCAGGCGATCCATTTCAATAGTGGGTTTTTAAGGTCGAGTTCGAATAAAAAAAATTTCCTTGTGCAAAAAGATGCTTTCGCATGTGCGTGCGATGATGTGAATGTTAGGTGGCTTTTGTTTGGAATTTCCGATCGGGGTGAATTGATGAAAGAAACAAAGCGAACACCTTTTTTAACGTGGGAATTTTCTTGTGTCCGGATACTATAAATAGAAGGGCGAGTCGATGGAAGAAACAAAGCAAATTTGCGAGTTGTCCGAAAATTTGTTCTTCTCTTGTAATAAAGCGTGTCGGTTTGCATAGATGGAGACTGCATTTAGTATTTAGTGCCCAAGAAGAATGAGAAGGGCTTGGCAATTGTGCAAAGCGTCCCAATGGATCGACCAAATGGCCCAGAGCTACGAGTTGAGCCTTAAAGCTTCTAAGGGCCTCGCACTTTTTGAATGCACTAGAATATTCTTGAAAGCCATATCGGAATGCACTAGAATATTATTGGCAAATATACATGAATTCCACGGACTTCCTGTCAATTTCCGACTTTAGATTCGATTGTAGATGTACGGTGGTCATCTAGTAATACAGGTATTGTCGAGAGTCTCTCTCTCTCTACACTTTCTCTCTCAAGAATTCACTTGATTAGGGCTTCAATGCATTCACGCTAATGGCAGGCCGACGCTGGCAACTATCTCTCGTGCCAAATTATCCAAAGAAATTATTATATATATATCCCTGACATAAACCGCATTATTTGCATATAAACATGAGGCTAGATAGACACGTGATAGGTCCATAAAAGTATAAACACATCCCAAAATTTCCATTTTGGTTAAGGAAAATGGAAATTTCCATCCTCACACAAATAACCATTTTTACGAAATCATTTTTCATATTATTCATTTTTCACGAAACAAACGGAACTTAAATTATGAATTTTGACAGCCACCCTAATTACCTAAAACCAATTAAAAATCGAATCACAAACCAGTTTGGAATGAGGAAAATTGGGTGTGGTTTCAATGAGGAGTGCGAAGCTATTTGTAAAAATGTATATTAAAAAAATTTCAAATAAGAGTCTGAAACGAAGTTATTTTCTTCGAAAATAATTTAAAATGAATATTATTTCCAATAATGGCCCGAAATGGCCAACCTAGTCTTAAATAAGTGCCCGAGCTTGCCGGCTGAGGAGTACTTGATATTTTCGGCAGCCGAAACAGGGCATTTTTGTCCAAAACAAATTTGGATAAAGATTAAAATGAAAAAAGAAAAGCCAAAAAAGCCAAAAAAAAAATCAAACTAAAATAAATGAAACCAAATTCTAAGAAGAAAAGCATCAATCTTTGGTCTTTGAATATGAAGAATGCAAGCCAATCTCAACAATGTAAACCAAATAGAATCGGAATTTTAAGAGAGCAAAAGCTTGCGACTTTCCCTCAATTTCTTAGATGGTCGGGTTCCCCACCGCAGTTTCAACTCTGCCGGGGAAGTGCCGTCGACCGCGCCTGGGGTCGATTGACGCTACACCGCAAATCTACGGTGGTGGAGGTCGATGCCGGGCCTCTCTGCACTCTTCGAGGTCGACGCCATGGCGGAGGTCGAGATCCGTGAAGACCACGATGAGGCGCAATAGAAGGCTTGGCGCTTCTTGAACATACAGATCTCGAAGACCCCACATTGGTTTTCCCCGATTCTCCACAAATCTCTCGGAAGAAATTGTGAAGAAGGAGAGGGGCTACCGCATTCGTTCTTTTTCTTCTTTTTGGCCAAGAAAACCAAAAGACGAAAGGACGAGTATGGATCTTGGGTCTCTGAATACGAAGACCGATCCTTACATAGGGCACGACATTTGCTAGCTTTTGCCATTGCTTTAGCTCCAAATCTCTTTCTTCATACCCAAAAATAGGTCCAAGCTCCCAAGTTTTGCAATTTGCTCGTTGGGAGACCCAAGTTCTAGATCATGATGGACAAGAACTCGTTCGTTTTCTTGATTTTCATGGTTTTAGCTATCCATGGGGAAGCATATGTGCTTAGGTGCTGAGAAAATGAGAGAAAAGTTACAAGCTTTTGCTCGCTTTAACATATGGGTTTTTAGTTGGTTCAAATTGCTGAGATTGGTTTGCATAGACCAACGATCCATGCTTTCTTTCTTAGAATATGGGTTTCATTTTTGCCCTCGTTCGAATTTCTCTTCTTTTCTTTTTGGCCTTTTTGGTTTTTCTTTATTCTTTTTAATCTTTATCCAAATTTTGTTATGGAAAAAAGATGCCTTATTCCGAACTTCAGAAAATCAAGTGTTGGCCAGCCGGTTGGTTTAGACCCTTATTTAGAACTTACTTGACCATTTCAGATATTCATTTGAAATAAAAATTATTTTACTTTATTTTCTTATTAGGAATTTTCCTATAAGTATAGGTAAGAGGTTATTCTTAAAAAAATGAAATACGTATTTAGTAATTTTTTCAAAACAAAAAGGAAAAAAGAAATTGAATGAATGGTCGAAGAGGAAGGAACCGACCTTTTGCCCCTTCTTCTTCTCAAGAGCCCCCCATCAACCTCGCATCTCCCGTGCACCGACTCTCTTCCCTCCACGCGCCGTCTCCGTCGCCGATTCCCGAAGGAAAAAAAGCCGGCGGCGGCGGCGGCCAGAGAAACCCTAGCCTCCGAAGCAGAAGGAGGAGGATCGAGAGAACCATGTCGTACGACGACGTGGAGATAGAGGACATGGAGTGGAACGAGGAGCTCCGGTCGTACACCTACCCCTGCCCCTGCGGCGACCTCTTCCAGATCACCAAGGACGACCTCCGCCTCGGCGAGGACATCGCTCGCTGCCCCAGCTGCTCCCTCTACATCACCGTCATCTACAACGCCGAGGACTTCGCCGGCACCCCGAGCAAGAGGAACCCGGATCCCTCCCAGCAACAGCCCGTCGCCGTCGCTTGAATTTCAGGTCGATCTTCGGAGTTGTTTGTGATTGTAACGTCGGTTGGTTTTGAGGACGATTGGTTTGGGTTAGTTGAGGTTGAAAGTGTATAGCTATGGTGCCTATGGTGCCGTGATTCTGCGGAAATGATGCTATTAACCGATTGATTGATATACGAAAGGTTCCTGGAATGCCCTTGTGTTCTCCATTCGATGGTTTTTTGGATGCTTTTCTTGTTTAAGTTTGGATCATGTGGATGCGATAGATAAATATGTGCTGCTCTTGATTTACCTGGTGTTTGCACACCATTCGAAATAGAACAAGTTTTGAGGTTGCTTGCTCCTTGATCTTTACGACGACGTGGGAAGATCAGTTATTGATATTACAGCAGTGCTGCATCCGCTTCTCTTGTTGAGGTTTCCCTTAATAGTGGGTTTGGAATGTGATTATGTGGAAATTTGTGATCTTTATGTCCAGTTGGGGTCGACGCAAGGAAACTCGGAACCATAAAGATAGCTTCTGTTGCGTGAAACCTGCTACTGTTAAGGATTTATCTCTCATTCGGTCTTTTTCGTATGGCCATAATATAGAATATGTCGAAGATGCTCTGTTTACGGATATGACTGGGGTGATTGATCTTGCCTTGTTTCTGCTTTATCAATCTTGCCCTAGAAGATAGTCTGTGAGATGCATCTTGATTTTGATGGGACTTTTCATCTACGTAATAACAAATCGATCGTTTAACAGGCCACTCTTTATTCTTTGGACCTTCACAATCTCTGTGCCTTTTCCTTCTACGTACCCTGCACCTGCTAGTGCTAATTTACATTTGTCACTTCCTATTCGATGTTTCATGGGTTCGTTTCTTTACATGTTAGTGAGGTCTAGGCATTAGAGTAACGTGATTTACAGCAATTTATGAACTCTTGGTTGAGTCAATCAGGGCGCCGCTCCCCCCATTAGCCAATAGCCATTGTATCGTTGATGTTTCATTCTTGCTGAGACATCTTGCATCATGAGTATGTGGTAATCTTCAGTATAATGTTCGGTAGTGATTTGATTTTGTTGTAATAGATGTTGCAAGAATTATGGCTCCTCTTTAAGTTATCAAGATGATTTAGAATCTTGGGTTGCTTCTATATTGTATTCTTTTATCAGGTTTGGATTTCTTGCTCTAACTTCTCATAGTCTTGTGATGTTTTTCTTTCCTTCCTTCTTTCCTTGTTCATTTACGATGTACTAGAACATACTTTTTTTTTTAATAGAATTTTTTATTATCTGTCAAAACGAAGTTATGGTACTGCTTTGTTCTGATGTACAACAATAGGGAATTTCGTAATGTAGATCGAAATCCTGTATTAGGCCGAAGGTATGCTGATGGTGATCTTCGTGGTTTCATTGACTCTAGGTCTGTAGTCGAGTTCATCTTTTCTGTCCATATTGCATTATTGTGAGATTTATCATGGTATTTTTGGGAATGTCTCTTTTAAATTATGTTTATTGTGTCGGCTTCTTTTTCCTCAGATATTTTAGAACCTTAACGTCTACTAATTGTATGACCAGAAAGGAAAACACTTAGAAATTCGCTTGATGGCTAGCAGCCCGTTATTTTGATTGGGTGAACAAAAAGTTCAATCGTGCTTTGAAGTTCTCTAGAAGGAAGCCAGCTTTGTCAACTATTGTAAGCTGCAATGTGATTATGCTAATAGGGTGCCCAAATGCATTATAAGTTGTTGAAGAAATGTGTAGATACTTCTGTACGTGGTTACCTGTGTTTATGTGAAGGGATGAGAAAATAAGAAATGTGAAGTATGTGAGTGAGCAGTCGTGGTTTATGATCTACTTGCGATTCTTTGAGTAAGCAATTTACATGTATCTCTTACTTGAGAAGTGTCATTTACGTATATCGGCTATTTACGTTGAATAGGCCAGAATAATCACCTCATGGATTCTGGAAGTATCATTAATTTGCCATACATAAACCGGTAATATTTTTAGTACTTCAAGAATGTTGATTTTCAATCCGTATGAAGTTGTATGGTTGGAATTAATCATGATAAATCCAACTTGGAGGCCGCAAAGTATAGGTATAATGCGAATCAAACCTAGTAGACATGAGATGATTTGGCATCATTTATAGAGAAAAGCTTGCTTGTGGGGTTCCCCATGGTTTAGTCGAAGCTTGTTCCGAGTGTCTAGAGGCTTTCTAGATGGACACTGAAAACACTAGCCGAAATTGATTTTTCAGAGTGCTTGCAATATACATTAACTACAAGGCCATTTTCTTTCTGGACTTCTTGGGTTAATTTAACTGCAAGTGGTCTGCTGTCTTTGTTTCGTGAGTGTTGTTGGCTACTGGTTGGGGTCAAGAAACTTTGTATTCAGTTTCTATGTATGCCGTACTCATGAGGTTCTTACTGTATTCATTTGCGTAGTTAACTGTAGTTACCGGAATAGCTGAGGAAGTTTGTTTTACATGCTGTGAGGTTAGGCATAATTCGTAAGATCAGAACAGAATATCCTGCGAACGTGCATGGCGGAAACAACGTACGAAACATATCATTTAGTCTATTCACAGAGCGGAGATAATCAGGTTCAGTGAGTATGTGGATCTCGTGTGTTCTACTGACGTACCAGAGTGATCTAATTGCCAAAATTATGTGCACTGCCTCTTGAAGCGAAGACGGGGTCATATGCGGTGAACCTGCAAACTTCATCCCAATTAAAGAACACTTCGTGGTATTGTTCTCTTGAACAAGTGGGAACATCACATTTGCCACCCCTTTGCAATTTAATGGAGCCAACGGTCACTCCACTATCCTGAAATGCTGAAATCACTCAGCCTGAGCATTCTTAACCCATTTTCCTCAACTCTGCTTTTAAAGTGTACAAATATTTGGACGTATTTTTCTGCAATCTTTATTTTGTGGAAACACATGCAACAAGCACCCACCGAGGCAACATGACAAATCACCAGATTGAACAACTGTCCCTTTTGAACATTCTCTGCAACTTGCCTTTAATCCGAATCCAACTCAAAAAGCAAAATTTATATAATGAAAGCAAATTATCAAAGAACTTCCTATCTCATGATTCAACACACGCACGCATTGTCAAATTACCAACAAGACTCATAGAATTAACAAACAAGAAAAATCCAGCACGAACCAATAACGTGATGGATAATTCTTCCATATAAATTCACGGAGATAATAATCTTGCAGTGCAGGTGATTTACAACTAAGTATACGAGTAACATCCTTAGATTAAAGGTGGTACGAACGACAGCAGCAAATACCCATATCAACCAAGATGAAGACAGGCTATGCACAAGACCAAATGAAAAATAATTAGAAAAGACGATGTAACCATTGTTGAAGGATAGGATGTTTACATAGATAATCTTGTGAAAATGCTCACCCGAAATGACACAAACCAGAAAAATAAGAAAAAATCGAATCAAAAGAGGCGTAAATTATTACCACATTGTCATAATCAGCTCCATAACAAACCGCGCAAGCACCTCCTTGTTTTCTCTTTTATCCAATTACATTGTTGCAGAGGGTTGAAAACAAAACATTCAAACTCCTGAATCGTTCTTCGCCTCCAGAATATTCCACTCAACAAGTCAGCAAAACGTTTCATGTACCTTCAGTGTTTCTTCTTTCCACTTTGTTGTTTCGTCCACGAGATAGTGGAAGTTCACTGCCGTTCTCTGCAAGACTTTACAGTTCTCCAACAAGTACGCCACCAGCTTCATCTCATCCCACGAGCAATTAAAGCCATTGAAAACAATGTCCCTGAGGTGCGGCAAGAAAGAACTAGGAACCTCCTCACATTCCCAAGCTTCCTAGTCGAATTCCTCATAGGACCTTAAAATGCTCTATCGGAGGCCACATAAATAAAACCGGAAAGAAGAAGAAATCGATAAGAGAATTCAAGCATAGGTATTCTAATTTCGTTGTGTTGGTGAAGAACCACTTACAAGTTACAGTGATAAATAGATGCAGCTGTGAGCAATCGAATGAACCTTGAATTCATTTCTTAAGGCAAAGTACAAGGCAATTGCATTGTGCAGGGATAGGCGATAAACTTAAGATGCATTGCACATATTTTTGGTACTCGAAGGAGTAAGGGAATTTCAAAGCAATGGTAAAAGCCAATCCAGTTTTACTCCTCAATCAATGGTTTGTAGAACAATCTGTAGGCCTCAAGAACTTCAAGATACCACATGGCCTCTCGATCTGGAAATGCAGAGAGATCAACCATCTTGTGAACCTGATGATTCGGTCAAAGCATGCATAGATCAATTTCTTCCCCCAAGAAGCAATGAAACTCCAAGTTCTCAAAATATCCCTAACAAAAGGATTGTCAACAGATGAACACAGATGATAGAGGAGAGTCTTTTTCCCCGAAAATTGGTCTATCATATCCATATCAGACAACTCTATAAAGTTTGTGATTTATTCTTAATTTACCAATACAATTAGATAATTTACTAGCGAGATAATGGAGTCCACACATGAAATGACTGAAACATTTGAAAAATTACCATTACCTATTAAATTATTAATCACGCATTAAATATCCAAGACTTCAGATCACGGTTTTTTAGAACTTTTATTAACATACCTTAATCATAGGGACCTCTCCTGCGTGCATACAATATGCTCCAACAACCATTACATACATTCCTGCACATTACGCCCGCATTAAGTGATAAAACCAAAGTCAAAAAATCAAAAATCAAAATCAAAACCGTGCTTCCTGGTATGTATAATTTTGCCAAGAAAAAAATAGAAAAACACAGGAGTCAAGCGTAGTTTAGCAGTTAACAGAAGCAGACTGCTAAAAGGCACCAGAGGCGAAGAGACAGGTGATCGATTGCCTGACCTGCTTTCCAAGGGCGGAGGCGAAACTCGCCAGGAAGAGAGAGCTGAACGACTCCAGTGCCGTCATCAATCAGCAACCGCTCTTCGTCACGCACCAAGACCAGAACGCCCTGCGTTGGAGTTGGTGTTTAAATTTAACAATCGTGCGTAATTGGAGCAAATGGGAACGGCGAGGTGAAAAGGAGAGATATGCAGGCGTACCTGTAACCAGGCTCGCTGAAAGAGGAGGCCACCAAGAGTGAAGGCATAGGGAGAAGAAGACGAGGAGGAGGAGCAGGATGATGTGGCTTCGATGGCCTCCTTCAACTGGAAACTCAGCAATTTCAGCGCCGCTAAGCTGTAATCCATATTTCTTCCCTCTCCAGAGCCTCTTTCTTTCCTTCTCTCACCAAAGTATATTGATTTTAAATACAATAAGGGGCGACAAAAACCTTCTTCTGAAAAGCCACAGGCCAACGGTATGCTGAAAAATCAAAGCATATTGCAAACAACGGTTAACATGTATCTATTTAAAAGAACAATTTGTGCATCATAAAATATGAAGAGACAACTCGATTTGGCACCGTGGGAGTACCAAAAACTTCTTGCAACATGGCAACTTTCAAGAAGCAATGCCTCTTTAAGTTCTATAGTCAAATACAGAAACGAATTGAGAATGGTAGACTAGTTGAAATATAACGACTGCAAGTTTTCTATCATATGTGCTCGCATGGGGTCCAGTGAAAACAGGCAGTTGAGGTTCACTAAGCAGATGCAAAAGTTACCATTTTAGACATTGAGGAAGAGCCTTTCCAGAATATAAGCCACTAGTTCAAATTGTATGATGGCAAGTGATATGGATGTAAATTTAAATCTGGCATCCAAGAACAACAAGCTTGAACAAAAAAAGAGCAAGCACAGATTATCTTTTATTCTGAAACGTCGCAAAAAAAAGTCTACGATGATGTATTGAGGCAATAAGTGGCAGACTAATATGTGCAGTTATCTTCACCCATCAAGCCACAGCACTTGTCTTGCAAAAGAAAAAATTGGTAAACCCTGCAACCACGTGAACCATGTTCGTGGATCTCCTCAAGGAAAGATGACAACAATAATGAAGCAGAGTCAACAGCCTAGTTTGCGAATGTAAGATTGCATAAATGGAAGATGTCCAAGAGTACTCAGATCTAATATGCCAGCTATCACAAATTACATATTGAAAACCTAATTTATGGCCAGGTCCCCAAAAGAACAGCGAAAAGAAGTTACGCATGTCAATGAGCACTTCATGCAAGCATTTGGAAGGGACGTAAGAAATGACCTTTTTGAAGGATCCGAATCTTCCCTCCAATTTATTCTGGTTACATTTAATCGATTAGGTCCACATGTACCAATCTCTTATAATGCACTTCCTCTACATTAGACTCTTTTTCCGCTCTTGTATGTTCCTAATGTACTGGAACAGGTTCTCTCATTACAATTAAATGCCTTATCATCATAAAATACCTAAGCATTTGAAGTTAGACCGTCTCGATTGAATAGACCTCCTAATTACGAAAATTCCATCTGAGATCGCCAGTCCATCAAATTTGCACAGCCATTTCAAGCCTTGATTTACTACCTAGCACAGCAACAGAGACGCGGCGGCTTGGAGACAGATATCTGTAAAAGCAAGCCTAACACATCACTCAGGCTCCCCACCCAACGCAATCCTAGACTCTCGAAACCCGGATCGAATCACACAAAACGAAGCAGAGACTTGGAAGTCCACACGGAGTAAGCGATTGACTCCGAAGTCAACTCAACTTGGCTGTACCGAAAATCCAAATGCAGAAGACCATCGCATCGCATCGCAGGATAGCGGCAAGATAACAAATACTCAGACAGAAATGTCGGCGTCGGAAGCCATTACTGTCGCGCGGCCGATTCCAACCGAAGAAGCAATCAAATCAACGTCCAAGCAAAACCGAGCCCCGGGAATCAACAGATGGAGTCAGAGGCCAAGCAGAAATCAGCGAATCCGCGAAGCTATCTATCGTTCGAATCTTAGAGTAAAAAGAAACCCAAAAAAAAAAAAAAATACAAGAGAAATGGCGCGCAGAAGCGAAAATGGACGGATTCAGATAGGCGGCGAAAGATGCTGACTACGGCGGGGGAGATGGCGTACCAGATACCGGCGGAGATGGTGGCGGCCGATGAGGCGGAGGAGGGTAGGGCCTTCACCACCCTTCAGCACCGCCGCGAGCTCCGCCTCTTCGGGAAAGGCTAAAGAAACCAGTAACTTTTATTGATGGAGGATTCTCAAAGCGATCGGTAACTTATATCTACATGACTGGTAACAAATTGCGCGGAATTCAATAATAAATCAAAACAACAAAATAAATGTTAGAGTAATTAAAAATTAAATTACGCTTTTATTTAATAATTTAAATTTTAAAAATAATAAATAGTGGTACCATAAAATCTCACGTGATATAAAAACATGACATTTTAAATTCAAATCTTTCTTTTGACCAAAAAAAATTTAAATTTTCGAGTTCTTATTTGCCTTTTTTATTACATATTACAAATATATTAAAGTAAGTCAAATATCGTTCGATATTTTTCACCTTTCAATTACACCGAAGAACTTCATAATATTAAGTCTTACAATTCCGTGCGATATTATAAACGAACATACAAAATCTTACCGCAAGAATTCCATTGGCTTCAAACACTAATCAAGTCGAAAAAGGCTCTCCCTCGAATTAGGCACCACCCATCCAAAATAGTACAAATACCTTAACCTAAATTAAAGATTTGAGTATCCAATACAATTTTGTTTCGATAAAAAAAATAATCTGGATTCGGGATTCGCAATTTCCCTTTTTTCTCCTCTGAAATTATGTTACGAAAACAATCTCTCGGCCAAAACGCAGCGTTCAATTTGATTCACAGTTTAGAAAAAAGCAAAAGGGAAGGGTGCTAATGAAATTTCCCCTGAAAACTGACGATTTCTTTCTCCGTCGCCGTCCACCGATCCCCACTACTCTGCAGTTTTGAAGCTTCGGTTCTGAGCTCTGTACAACACCACCGGAGCCTTTCAACTCTTGCTCCCTTTCCGTTCCTCGCCAGGTACTTTCGAGCTTCTCCTTCTTTTTCGATCCGCTCAACTTCATGAATTCCGCTTCTCAAACGGTTTCTTCGTCCATTTTCCGCTTGCGAAGAGCGCAATCGATTAGCTGTTTCGAGTCGGCTCTTTTCCCTTTGGGCTCCCCTCTTTCTTGAAATTTGGTGGTCGACTGATGATTACAGAAATCCCAGAAAAGTTGGGTTCTTTGTCTTGCCCTCCATTGCGATAGCTTTGCCCTTAATATACCCACGAAAGACGTGCTTAGTTAGGGGCAGGATTAGTTGGGGCGAAGTGAAAGCGCCAAGATTTCGCTGAGCCTGCATTCCCTGATTTGCAATGAGAAATTCCGTGACTTGCAATGAGAATCCCAGAAATTTGGGTTCTTTGTCTTGCCCTCCAGTGCGATGGCTTTGCCCGTAATATACCCACGAAAGATGTGCCTAGTTATGGGCAGGATTTGTTGGGGCGAAGTGAAAGTGCCGACATTTCATTGAACCTGCATTCCCTGATTTGCAATGAGAAATTCCATGGCTTTGTTGAATTTTCTTTGGCTAGATCGCTGGGAGCATGGGTTGTTGTTTTGTATATTTGCTAATGTGATAGGAAAATACCAGTATTCCACGAGATAGATACCACTGCATGCGGAGACTCTGTTTTGGCCTGCTAAATCTTCATACTTTTAGCTTGCCATCGCCCTCATCAAGAGTCTTCAACTGATTTATCTGAAGTTTGTCCACTCCTATTTGTACGCTTTTGTTCCCATCAGGTTCGTTAGTTTTCGCAATTGTCCTTTTCTTTACGTGGAAGAAGCATGACAGGTTGACTCTCCTCTTGCAAATTTTGACAATCTTTGGTCTTGTGGGCAGTATCATTATGCCCTTTGATTTCATAATCTGTGTCTTGTCTTTCTTCCCCACTTTTCTTTTGGTGTGTGGTTCATAAGAAGCATTATCGGGGTGGAAGTTCCATCCATCATGCAGCTAAATATCACTTACACTCATGTTAGGTGAATGAAGATAGACTGTTGCAATCTATCGCTTCTAGTGATTAAGTTTCTTTGTTATTCATGTTTGCTTAGCGGGGTAGTGTTACATATTTTCTGGTGGATATAAATATGCACCACATCTATGTTGTTATGCCTAGGAATATACATATACTTCCTTTTGTGCCAATGTGCACGTTGCAGTGAGAATTTACTTTTCTTCACAATCTCCATTTAGCAAAGATAAATTAGTGGATGTATGTTGAAATTATATTTGCCTAAGCAATTCAGTGAATACATGTTGAAAATTAATCTTGCCAGAAGTTGGGACGTTGAAACCATTGGGAAGCCCGAGTAGCTTCCAGGGCCTTTTTTTTCCAAGCCTACTAATCCACACTCAATTTGTCTCAATTTCTTAATTAAATAATAGTTTTCTGTTAAATCATTTCCACGTTAAGTAGTATCTCTGCGCTCTTTTTTCTCCCTTAACGTTGCATTTGTTTCGCAGAAAATGAATGATATGGAAAACATATTTTTAAAATGATCGCTTGCATCGCTCATGAAAAGAATGAACGAAAAATATTTTCATCGTCCAAGAAAATAATTAGAAATGAATTGTTGTCGATAATAAAAAAAATTCCATCGACTAAGTAATTCTAGCGATACAAGCGATTATTTTTTGGAAAATGTTTTCCAAATCATTCATTTTCTGCGGAACAAACGGAACCCAAGAAAGTAAACATTTTCGGAACCCCAAAGCTTTTCCTTTCTTATCAGCACAAATTTGTGGAGTTGGTATGTCATAAGAGCAACTTGCTTGATGCCTTTACTCCCCATCCCAGTTCAGAGTTTATGTACGAGCATACCACAGTTCACCATTATTACTAGTTGAGGAAAGAGATGGTTGTGTGATGAGAGAACTCTAGGATTTGGAAATTATAATCATATTGTATGAGACATCGTACTTGTATTCTCAGCATTGTGATTTTACCATTTTCTTTTTTATTGCTATAGATTATTTATGCAGATCTGTGCTAGGTTTAGGTAGATCTATAAATTGATCGTTCACTTAGTCTGCTTCGTGTTCCAATAATTGTCATCTGTCAATATCTCAAGTTGACAATTTTGGTCCCAAGAGAACAATTGCAAATCATTCTGTCGCGCAATGTAGAATTGTATTATGGGAGTTCTTCTTTTACATAGTTGTTTGCATCTGTGCAATAAGGTCTGAGATAATTTCCGTGCTAAAAAATCGGGACAATTACGGTAACAATTCATGTCTCAAGAACCAGATTCGTTAAGTTGCCTGCTGGTTCTGTTGGAAAATGAGGCAATTGACAGCTGACTGCGATGCAGAAACGACTTTGGCAAATGATGCAGAGACTCATGTACATGAGAATCCTATGCAGATGGCTTAAATGGGACTCCATTGATAGTTTGCTTCACAAATGCTCTTTTGATGAATGAAGCATATTGGCAATGTATGTGCCAACACCCACAAAAATCTATATGTAACATGAGCCTGGCGAACTGTGTAAAATAAAATGAAATTCAAAATTAGGCGTTGGCAAAGTGGTCATTGCCATTGACTGGGTAGCTATTGGTGTGGAGGAGGAAATCACTCAGGTCAAAAAGGCGATGGACATCGTAGATAAAGTTGCACTTGTGCTATCAGATCAGTCTGTTAATCTAAGGGCTTCAGTCGATGAGAGCAATTTGTAATCAACTTTGGATGGTGTCGATAGGGCGTAGTCATTGAAAAGGCAGCTTTACACGTGTTCTTAAAATTGTGCTGAACCGCTTTAGAATCCTTGGTGGTTAATAGTTCGTGTCCTTATCTTCTAGATGTCCTAATATGATGTAACCACTTCCCTTTTGAAGTAAACTATAAAGAGGAGAAGATTAGGATGTAAAAGCTCTCTCCCAATAATTCAAACACTCTTATCTTTATCCTTACTTTCCTGCAACATCTGGTACTTTTTCTGCACTTTAGGATTCTTCCATGCCCATTACTTTTCTGTAGGTGTTAATTCTTCCTTCAAGAACCCACAGCCAAATTCGGTTCCTTTCTTGGCCATGGATAGTCTACTGCAAGGAAGACGATGTGCTCTCCTTTGGCCTACGGAGAGAATTTTGAGTGAACAGTGTGACTAGCAAGGAATTAATAATTTAATTAGTCATCAAATTATATGTTAATATGATATGGGCTGCCATTCGAGCAGTCATGCCACTAATTGTTAAGCAGTTGTTTTCAAATAATAAGTTGTCTTCTTTTCCTTTTTTGCTACCATAGTTGACTGTCTTCAGGTGCTGCTTTTTAAGCCCTTCCATTGACATCCTGCAGCAAGTTATGGGAGGCAGAGGAGTAATTGGGGATAAATGGTCCATGAGGATACTCTGGTTATGCGCATTTGGAAGTGCAATAAGTATGTTTTTATTGACATTGTTTTCCCGATTCTCCGAAGAAATTGTCCTTGTAATGCACTCTAAAAACAATTAATATTGTGTTTGTGTGTGTGTGTTTGAGAGAATCCATGAGAGATTATATCTTTCAGTTATGTGCTCTTTACTTTCCTCTTCTTATTTTGATCCTTTCTTTGTTTCTTTCACTTAGGTCTGTATATGGTTGTTGTGGAGAGGCAAATGCAGAACAGGGATCGGATGTTGGCTGAAAGTCTAAACTCCACAGATTCTGGCTCAGGCAGCGGAGAGGAAGTTTAAGTGATAAACATGATATTGAAACCACCCCCCCAAAAAAATAAAAATAAATAAAAGGGAATATTTTCTTGATATTGTTTCCTGTTAAAACATTGGCAAGCTTTTTGGTACTTACATCTGATCGAGGTGATGTTCCTTTTTCTCTTTCCTCTTCGCCCTTTTTGGGCAGTTGGTAGGTTGTGACTCTGACCATAAAATGTAGTGACTGATATTCAGGATATAGTGTTCTCAATCGAGAGATCTTTTAATTTCAGGATTAGCTATGTACTGAACATAAGATTTGGCTGACATGCACCAGTTCATTCAACTCTCTACGCTCATATCAATAGAAAAGATCCCAAGGGTTTACTAAATTCCTATGCATGTACATATACAATTTCTACTATTTTTTAGCCCGCTTAGCTCAGAGGTTAGAGCATCACGTTTGTAATGTGATGGTCGTCAGTCTGATTACGATAGCCAGCCTTTTCCCGCCAAGGACGCGTGTGGAGCCATTAAAGCACTGTTCGATCAGATTCTGAGTAGATGTAACCGCGATACTTGTTGCAGCACCATACGAAACTAAATTCTCTTCCCAGTTTTCACATGATTAATTGCTCCTGTAAAAGGAGCGAACCGAGGCTCGCAAATCTGTAACGTTCACTTAAAAATTTAGATCAATTGGCTCGTTACTGACATTCCGCGTCCCACACTCTCGGTGCATGATGCATGATGTGCTTTCAATTGCGAGTAGCAGCAAGCAGTCTCACGAGATGTGGATTTGCACTTGACTCCACGAAAATTTCTTGGTTGGGTTACAACTACCCAATAGAAATTTCTCCTCTATGATCATGCACTCTTGATGACCCCAATTTCCGGGGGCATGCAACAGCAACTATATTTCATTAACTCGGGCACTAAAGATCTGCAAGGCGAGAAATTTCTCCTTCATTCGCTGTTAGATACAAGTTCATCTATAAATATACAAGCCTTTCATTTTAGCATGCAAGGCAAAAAAGTTCTGACAAAAATGGGATCAATAAAATTTGCTTTGATAAGTCTTCTCCTTCTTTCTTGCATAGGTTTCAGCTCTGCTCACAGAGTCATCCGGGATGCCAAAGCTGGTCAGAACCATCAAGATCCTCCCACCCAAAATGAAAATGGAAGAACATGGTTTTGGGGTGCTGGTGCCAGTTCAGTGTCTGCCTCTGGTAGTGGCTTTCGCATGGGTGGTGGCTTTGGTGGAGATGGAACTGGTTTTGGTGACTCTAGCAGTGATTTCGAGGCAGGTGAGGTTGAAAGTGCCAGTGGAAGTGGAATCTTTGGCAGCTCGGATGGACTAGGTGCAGCTAGCGCGCATGGTTTTGGAATGGATTCTGAGGATGTCTCCGGCGACCATAGTAGCAGCGATGCTGGAAGGGGAAGTGATATTCCTGCCATGAAAGCTAGTTATGGATATGGAAGTGGTAGTGGGACTGGTGGTAATGGGTTTGAGTATGGGCCTCAAAGTGGTAGTGGCTTTGGCTCTGGTTCTGGCGTAGGAATTGGGTATGGCTCAAGAGGCGGTAGTGGTGGATCAGGTTACCTGCCAAGATGTCTCCGGCGACCATAGTAGCAGCGATGCTGGAAGGGGAAGTGATATTCCTGCCATGAAAGCTAGTTATGGATATGGAAGCGGTAGTGGGACTGGTGGTAATGGGTTTGTGTATGGGTCTCAAAGTGGTAGTGGCTTTGACCCAGGTTCTGGCGTAGGAATTGGGTATGGCACAAGAGGCGGTAGTGGGGGATCAGGTTACCCGCCAAGGTGGGAAGTGGTGTGACCCGGTCTTGTACCTGTAGGTGGAGGTGTGCAAGGACAAGGACCACCGGTTCCTAGAACAGGTGTCGGGTCTGGCTCGAGAGGAAGAAATGTTGGAGAATCTGGGTCTGGCTCCAGGGTCGGTGAAGGTGGTGGCCATGTTCCAGGTGTACATGGACAGGTTCCGAGTTATGGAGCAGGAGGTGGAAAGGGATCTGGCAATGGTGGAGGTAATGGTCACGGTTGGGGAGGTGGCTATGGCTCTGGCTCTGGCTCTGGGTCAGGCTCAAGTGGTGGTGTCCATAATGGTTTTCCTCTCGGAATGCCGCTACCAGTGATGGGAGGTCCATTGCCACCATTTTGCGATTCACTTCCCATCAAAATGCAGAAGCAGAAGCAGAAGAAGCACATCATCGGATGGGTCACACTGAAGGATCAGAAGGCGATGCTGCTATGGAGGGAGCTCTCTCGAGTATTGGACGTTATGAACACAAGACAGATGGTTCCAATGGACTCTTTGATAGTGCTAGTGGGCCTGTGGCTTCCCAAGGTGTTGAGATTGATGATGAAGACCTTCGTGATCAGACGGAGCTTATTCACACCATTAATTAATAGCGTGCAAAGGAAGATCCGTCCATGTAGCTACTAATGTACCTCTCCAAAATAAGACCCTTCATCGGATGGTCATAAGAATGTTTTGGTTTCATCAAGTTCCACCAAAATGAATTCAAGGCCAATTTGCTTGCCATAAAAGAGCTAGAGATAATAAGATGAGCCTAGGGTTATTTTTTCCCGATCTTTTGTGTATGCTTGAAAGCATACGCTGCGAAAGACGGCAAACACTCGCAAAAATTTGCCAGTAGTTCTTTGATGTGGTCATTGCTGCTCTCAGAAAATGTTCTATCCTTCCTTATGACAAAAGGAGAACATCTTTAAGAAGCCATGTCAATTGAAACAAACTGATTCGTCATAAAATCGAGAGCCAGTAGGTCAATATGATATTGTACCAGACCCAAGTGGTAGATGGGTTTCAGGAGATTCCCTGAAACATTCAACTATCACCGAGTTTGTTGGAACTGAGAAGCCAACTACTCAGCAGGCTATGCCAGCTTGTAACATATGAGCATAACATCATCTCTCTAAACAAATGAGCTCAGAAGAACTACTATTTTCAGAAATTCTAAAGGACCCATGGCCATTTTGATCAGGTTGCACCACAACCGAAAGAAGGCAGGTTCTTGTTCCGTGAACTACTTTTTAAGACTCGTTATGCATACATAATTTATTTTATTTTATTCACATATAGACATGGAAAGACAACTTCGGGAACTTTTTAACAAAGCCGTTCGAAACTGTAAGGCCTGTATTATATCCGTGTCAGTATCTACTAGTTACACCAATTCTATTACATTTTAACTTTCTAACCTATCCCTCGTGGAAATTTTACAACCTACATTTCGCAACATATGCTGTTAAGATTGAACTCTGACATGGCATCCTCAAACGAGACATTACAAACAAAACTAGTCAAGCTCTTTGCTGCCCACCCCCATCACAGTCATGAAAACCTAAGTTATCATTCTCTTCTAGCTGGCATGGATGCGCATCTTGAAAAAGCACCTGTATTGAAGTTCGCAGTGGATGATGAAGACACAGACGCAGAAGGGCGAAGGAGAGGCGTGCCAACTCTACTCGAAGTCTCGTTAGCAACTGGAGGACTTATGATGATTGTAGGAGCTGCTTGTAACTCAATTTCCGTGCATGCATCAACTGGATTTGTGGGCTCATCAAACAACTGACGATCATCGTCTTCCTCCAGTGACATAACTGTGCTCGTGTCTGTATGTATTGTCGAATCATCTGCCAATATGCCAAGCCTTCTCTTCCTCCTAGCAGACTTCTTCCACCCGTGGATCGTTTCTCGTATTCTCTGCGGAATCAGGGCTGCCTTGTAGTTTGTTCCCATCTGTAAGGAAGAATCAATATCGGTAAAGGGCAAAACTATTTTTCACTAGTCATACATATCTCTAGATGATTAACTGTTCTTTTGGCAAGACTTTGTCGCTAAGTCAACATTTTAACATAGGATGTGGCAACAAAAGGCTTTGAACAGCTTAACATGTGAATAGATAAGAGAAAGGGCAACCATCTAGTTTTGTCAATTTTAAATGCTAACACAAGATGTGGTCGAAAACATTCTTGAAAACTTAAATTGCCATTTCAGTTATTTGGAGGGTGAACTGTCAACATTGTCACTGGATGATTACTTGATAGTTTAGCTAAAAGAATGAATTTTGCACTTCCCTCCATAAGTTGAGTTTACACTGAAAAGCGATTCTGCTACGCCTCAGTAACTTATTACATTTTGTACTCCAGAGCTCAGGAGAACAGCACTATACCTGAGTAACCAGAGCATACAGAGGCAATGTGCTATAGCTGCAGAGGAATTGCCCAGCAAACCTGTGATAATGCAACAGTCATGCAACAACTGAACAATATCTCCTCTTTAATGAATTGAATGTGTTTGATTTCGGGGAATCCATCCTTACCCCAGAATCAATCGTAAGTAGACAAGCAAATGGTTTTTAATGAAGCACGAGTCATATCCAAACTGCCACTGTAAAATTGAATAAAGAAATTCAGGAAACACAGATCATAGTGAGACCTAGCTCACATGAATGTAATAGTAATTGTTTATTTATAACTTGGTCGAAATGAAGTCCAATTGAACTCTGAACTGATGTGAAAAAGTGGTGAGAATTTCAAAATGAATGAACGAACTTCGCCACAATATTTTAAAGAACAGTGGAAGAGCAATTACCCAAAACCAGAAGAATGAAGCTAGTTCGAATGCATTCTGCAAAAAAGTCACGCAAGCAGAAAATGGAGGCACATCAGCTTCAATTAATCATATCAAGAATTTAAAGCTTTTCTGAAAATAAATAAATAAATGAAAGCTGCTCTCCCATATCCTAGAAATGATTCTAACCTGAAAAAGAACGAAATGGATCAAGGACAAAAGTAGCTCAGGCTTCTTAAACCAGAAAAGGTCATCACGAGGCCTCAGTTTAGTTCCCGAGAAGAATTTAGAAATTCCAGCATTTTCCAATGATAAGGTTGCGATGACATGCTGTAGTTTTGTGCCCACCAGAAGAACAAGCTACGCAAAAAAATGCACCACATGGCAATGACTTGAAGTTAGAGAATGGAGACAAAGGGTTTTCTCACAAGTTCAACTGATTATAACGGACAGCACTAGCTACAATCCATGAATCTACTTATCGACTAAAAAGTTCAAAGGATGAACCTATAATCAATCCAGTACACAATATTAGTAAATGAACTAACCAATTTCCACCTAAATTTATGTCCACCTAATTGATCAAAGATGAAGCAGGTAACCTAGAAAACTTACCGTAATAGGAATAATGGCTATCCAAAAATAGAGATTGGACCCTGCGGAGTTGTAAGATGCAACTGTGAGTGAATCCATCAGGAAAGACAAGTCTATGCATTGATGAGCAACCAATTTCAAACTGAGATCCCAAAAGTAACTGAAGCTCTCCCTTCATTCAGGAAACATGGATTACCTTTAATGTTAAACAGCATGAAAGCAACTACAAATCCCCATAGAGGACCACTGCAAGAGATATAAGAGATATTAGTTTCCCAAGTTCCTATAAAATTAATGGTATTACATGTCGATATATAATAGTTCCAAGGGCCAGGCAATCTTGCAAACAGGTACTCTCCAGAAATTCAGTTCTAAAGTCTATAATTTTCCATCTGCAAACAAGGACATAAAGTCTTTCCACTTAGAAAGTAAGATATATAAGCTCTAATCATTCATAAAATGTTTGCGATGGTACTTATTGATCATCCTAAACATGTTGGGTACCTATTCAGGAGAAGAGGAATTATATTACTGAGGAAGGATTGGATTAGATAAATAGACGATGAATTAGAAATTTGGTATTGCCAAAGTCAACTCCACGGAAATTTGGTATTGCCAGAGTTATCTCCAGGCACTTCCTTAGTCGATATAGCCACAAGGTTAATGAAGAAAGCTGATTTCACTAAGAAGATTGCAAATTCAGTAAAAATTGGCGATGGAATTAACAGGAATATCCCAGAGAACATCTCACCTCACACCAACTATCCGTTGGAATTCTTCCTCCATAGAGCGAATCATATAGCTGTGGAAATCGTACTTTGGTGTAAGGTGGTGATTCTGCCAAAAATTAAGATAGAATGAGGAGTAAAAATCTAAAAGGGACATCGACTCTTTCTAACACATCAAGAATTCTATAGCATTATATTACTCTACTTAGACAATAACTTGATCTGGGGATCATCATAATTATAGAAATACTATATTAGAAAATGGAGGAAGATAATGAAAGCGGAAAAATGATTTGAAGGAATAAAAAAGGGCAAGACAAACAGTATGAAAATTATTGTTTCTTTTAAAGAAGCTAGTATGCTCGTTTTGTCGTGATCTTATAGGAAATGATCTTACAATCTCTAATCTAAGGTACTCTTTCAGCCAAGTATCACTGTTTTTTCCTTTTCTTTTTCCAATTAGCTATTACCAATTGCAATGTATGTATAAACTCTTTGTGAAGTTAACAACTGTCAGAACATAATTTGGTATGGTGACAAAGAGTCATTTACAACTTCCCCTTCTACATGAAGTTCCATTCTTGTAAACAGGCCTTGTTATTGAAATCATCCTACAACACAGCTAAGCAGATGATTTAGAAAGTTGTTCGCAACAAAAATAGTGTTAGAATAAGCTTCATGAAGACGGTACGACCAACCCTTTATGCTACCAACAGGTAAACAGGGAAATCAGCTTGAACTGAAAGAAAGCCAGAGGCTCTCAAGGAAATATCAAAATGCTATGACTTAAATGGATCATACATATACTTTTCCACTTCTCATATTTCTCCTATTGCCTAAACTAATTCCTGTTGTACAGCATATACATCTTCTCATCATAAGGTAAAATCTTCCCTTCACATTGTACAGAGATAAGCAATTCTAAGCCAGTCAAAATATTGATTTAATTAAAAAAATCTGAAATTTTATTCAGGATAATATTTCAGAGTTCCATACCATGATGAAGCCTTTACGTAAAGTTAAGTAGTCATCACGAACCACTGAATGCCCAAACTGACGGAAAAAACAAGTCTGCAAATTCAAATGAATACAGAAGTAAGTGAAAGAATTCCCACTTCCATAAGCTGTCTCAAGATTAAACTGGCACATAAAACAAGTCTACAACAACACGTGTGCATGCGTGTGTGCGCGAGGTACAGAGAGAGAGAGAGATTAAATCAGCAGAATGAGTATGTTTCACAAAAACAGTGCACCAAATGCAACAAGTTCCAGCCCAATGCTGTTCTTGGTGCTTCATATCTTTTCTTATTCGATCTGACAGAATTTTATTTCTTGTGAATGATCCCCTATATAGGTTGTTTCCCCCTTACTTTGAAATTTTTTGCGCGATGATGAGGAGGAGGAGGAAGATGATGCAAGAACATGAAGTAGTATACATACCACCCAGATCAAAAAGCTGTTCTTGGCCAAAGGATTTGCTGTATGAATCTTGACAAAAGTAGATTGTCTCCGTAATATCGACTCTCTTGTGATTTCTGCTAGGAGAAGAGGTGGTCAATTTGCATGGATCTCATAAAGTAATAATGATCAAAACAGCTAACTTAAAAGAAAATTGTAGACATTAGAGCTCTATGAAATGCGTTGAATCAAAATCTTTCATCAGCTAAGTAACGACATGACTGACTATGGTAGCATTACAACTACATGAGATCCAGGATGAGACCTTTATAGGCTTAAGTGTATCCTTTCTTTCTTCTCTATGTGATTTCAAAGCTTACAAACATGCTATTCTCCATCATCAGAATACCAAAGTTCGTCTTGTTCATCACAAATATTATAGCACAATCCCAAGTGCACATTCTCCAATGCTAATTCGAGGGTTCTTTAAAGCCTAAAGCCCTCTATCTATAAGCCCCTTCTCATCATCAAAACTAGTTTCAAACACGAAAACATTTGCAGCTCACCATCACTGAGAATAAAGAAGAAGCTAGATGCTTGTGAGAGATAAGCCGACAAAGATGAGAAAGTTGATTGTACAGTGTAATAATCAGTTCAGAACTAACCAGTTAACACGTCATGCCGATCCACATGAGCTTCATCTTCCCATATCCTCCAACTGTGAATCTGCCCAAGTCAACATGTGGAAAAAGCATAACAGCTACTTCAAAATACATTCTTTCATATGGCCAAAAGAAAAACTTCCATGTTCATGCCTCATATTCCGCATTTTTAATTAATAACAATGCTCCGGCCGAAAGACGGATGGAGCGACATGCAGTATAAGAAATATGAAGTGTCAATACTAGATCTCTTTAGCATCCAAGCTTTATATTTTTTGGATCGATCTTAAAAGAGCTGAGCGTTTATGGCTGATTTTTCCTCCAACATGATCAGAGTTTACAAAATCCTGTTATCTTATACCAAGTGTGGGTCAAAGTTCATTGAGTGTATCCACTGGTAGGTGGTGTTGCGGTCTAAAATCTCTTTACAGCAGCAGTCTAGCCTGAAGAACATGGCTTTCGTGTGTAACAGAGAATTAGTAGTGAATTCGCTGCTGTTCTGAACGGTTTCTCACCTTCACTATTGCTAGCAACATTGTCAAGCAGCTGTAAGATATATGTGTTACTGCCATGACAAATATGAAGCGGTGCAACTGCTCAAGACCTTCATATGACACAAATGGCTCACGACCCTAAAAAAACAGATCAAACCAAAGCAAGAGATCAGTTACTTCCATTGCCAAAATAATTCAATTGGAAAAGTTGAAGTTTCCTTAGTTTATGTGAGATTATCACATGTTCAAAAGCAATGACTGATGAGATTTAAACTAGAAATTCTTGATAAACCACATGCCTCTTTGCAGGAATTCTGACTCAAGGTATTCAACGTTCTCCTGAATGAGTGATTCAGGAAATGTTCCGCTAACATCTTACGTTCCTTGGAACCATTGTTCTCTTTATCTTCATCAATCTGAGACCTGGTGCATGGAGCAAAAGCACGATCATAAAACTTCGACGGGATGCAAATATTAGCTATCATGCTTGAGGTGGCCGTCAGAAGGAGAGAGATAAATCCAAGCAGCATCAGCTCTGTCACGAAATTTGAGAAGCGAAGATCGGAGATCACAGTAATCAATCATCAGTAATGCAGAAAGAAGCTTATTATCAAGATCTTTTTTTGCTGAATTTAATATCAAGACCAAGTAAGAATAACGGATGAATACCTTCTTTCATTTTCTCAACAGCTTCAAGCAACGGTTTCCGATTAGTTTTACGCAACCACTGTAACAGCATACAGAAAAAATTTCATCAGCTACTTTGGGCTAATAAATTAATTTTAAGAATGAAATGGAAACATCAGAAGATAGACTTGTCAGCTGAAACGGTCTTCCTGATAATGAATATCCCAATGTAGCCTTTGTGTTTCATAAACTTGCGTTGTACAATCTATCCCAGAAGAAAAAGGAAAAATACAGAAACTTGCATTGTAGGTAAAAATAACATGACCGTGAGACCAAAGTCAAATTCAAAATGCAAATGATACTTGCATATTTTTTACTTGCTAATGGACAAGCTTCTATGATTTTGACACGAGCCTTAGTTCAATCTAGCTTCAATCTAATAAATACCTAAACTATGTTTGCAGTCAAATCACTAAGAAACCTTCATTAACTAGAACCTCGCAGCAAGAACAGGGAAACTCACACCCCAGGAAGTTTTACCAACCTGCAGACATCTGGCTGAATATGGGTTTCTCTAGATTAGCCCAAAAAAAGAAAGAAAGAAAAGTTGCACATCCATCCCAAGTGATCTCTTAAAAGAGTGAGGTTATATACATTTTATTCACATATTCAGACAGGGCGAATGTAGAGGAATGTTGATCATAATATTTTAAGGGCCCATGGCAATCCCAGGGCTAAAGTAGATCCTCGCAGTCATATCACTAAGGGACTTTAATCATAACTCTTTACCAATGGCATTTTGATCAAAATCAAAAGAAACATGCCAAATATACAGGGCTACAAATGGTTTAAAGTCATGCTTTTGAAAAAAAACTGCAATTTAATATATGATGGGAAATTTGGCAAAATGGTACCCAAATGATTTTTCTCTTTTGCCACAGATACCTGAATGAAAAACTAAATAATTTTTACATCGTCGCGAGGAACTTTCTAGACATAGATTATGATCAGGCTGCCCATTCACGAATTAGAAATGGCTTACTAGATTGACAACAGAATGGAAGTGTTCATTAAACGAATTAGGAGCAAATATTTATCCCATAAAATTAAACTATTATCACATATTAGCAGGTAAACAAGAGAAAATTTAAGCTTTATGACTGATAAATGATGATCGACATTTGTGATTCATGCATGAATGCAGATCTATCATCTAACATCGTGGCCTCAAAACAGTGCAGAGAAGCATATGTTTGGGAAACTCTACGTATCTCTTGGAGAATCTCAAGATGATTTCTGAATGATACTTACTGTACTTAACCGGTGAATCGCGCGCTCCACGGCCAACGAAACCACGACGAAAATTGTCAATACGGTAGCAACGGACCATGTTGGTGTCAGGCCCAGAGATCGAACTTCTTGTGTATTATCTGACATACTGAAGATTGCTAATCGTGGTGCGCAGATTTAAGCTTATGAATTAGCCCAGATACCTGTCAACCATCAATTCCAGCAAATTCTCCAAATAGGTACAGCCAAAACTTTGCTTTTGATGCGCATCAAAAAGCATCCACGACATGGAGCTCAGTCGCAGGATTTGTCTCACCAGGCACAGCCACACTAAACTGTGATTTCTCAAGCAAATTGTCCCAATAGAACCTGCAATCTCCAAGGAAGGTTCTTTAAGATGAATCTTGAGGCTCGTGATGACCCACAGAGTAAGCAGAACCCTTCAAGGTCACGAAACAGAAAAAGAAGAGAAATTTAGTACCGCATTGTCCCGAGATGGCGCGTTTTCTTCCAGAAAATCAAAACTTTGCTAGTCACTGAGAAGGCAACTTCAAAAGCTAAAATGAGCTCACTTTCTTTGCTAGTGACTGCAGGTTGACCCAGACGCTCCTCTGATGTCTAATGCTTTTCGCGCTTGCAGCTTCTTAAGAGATCTTCCAGTCACTCAGGCTTATCGCTCTCCAAAGTAGAGGCAAATCTCCGAATCAGGAAGGAAAAACAAGCACGCTCCAATTCTGAAAAAAAGATAGAAACTTTCTGCACTTGACCCTTCTCTCTCTTCTCTCTCTCTCTCTCAACTTAAAGGTGGGAACTTTCCCGTTCAAGAGCACATTCCAATCTGGTGAACCGGCGGCTGCGGAATGTCACAGACGAATCAAAAACATCTAGCGTTTTCGAACCCAGAACACCTCCAAGATTTCAGAAAAACGGGATTAAAACGCTCGAGGTGAGCCCGTTTGCGAATCGCCAGAGATGCAGAGAAGAAGCAGAAGAAGAACGAGAAAGCGCGTTTCGTTGTTTCACCAAATGCTAAGATTACAGTTGGCACATTGCATGGAGGGTACCCTGTTTTTTCTTTTTTTTTCCGTTCTTCGGAAAATACTGCAGCTCGCTGTCGCTGCGAAATGAACGTAAGAAGGAGGAGGAGAAGAAAGAAGAAAACGACAAAGGTTGAGAGAGGTTTCTTGAGTGAATCTCTGGGGGGTGGCCTACCATGAAAAGGTGGGAGAGAGGAGGTTCTGACGTCCAGTCCCAGTCCCAGTCCCCCAACAGTGCTGGGTTTGCTTTTTGTATGGGGAGATTCTGCAGATGAACACGTACTGCCTCCACCAGATGATCTGCTATGCAGGAGTAGAAGTCTCTCCTCCCTTCCATCTCTCTCTCTCTCTGTCGTTTTCTCGAAGAAATGAAAAGAAAATTCAATTCAAGAAAGTCACAGGATAGTTCCCAGAAAGGAATCCCAAAAGTTTGTGTTATCCTGTGGATCCCCTTGACACCCTGCCCATACAATTTTTCACCGTTGGATTGAAATTCAACAATCTCGGCCGCTTGAAGGATCTCGACCCGGAAAGTTGTGATTTTTTTGGTTTTCGATCCAACGATCAAAAGTTTAAGAGGTGCGGTATCTCTTAAAGATCGAAAGAAAACAAAATGAGTTGTAAAAACGATGATTTAAGAGATTAAGGGATAATGACAAGGAAAAAACTCCAAAAAATTTATCAGCCTCGTGCATTTGGATGTTAAAACTTTTATTTTATTTATGTCATGAAACTTTCGCTTCGATACACTATATGGGTTTTTTCTTGTATTGATGGAAAGATTGAATTGGACCAAAAATTACAAATTTTAGGATTTGTATCCACGAATTGAAGGTTTTAAGGCTTGCTGTGTAGTTGTCTCGAACTTATAGCATAATATATACAAAATTTAATGAGTATATGAATAAGCATATCATATTCGAATATTTGATTAGTCAATTCAACACTATTTTACGAAACATTTTCAGAAATTTATTAATATCAATAGAAGTTTGTCATGCATTTATGAGAATGTTCTCTCTTCGTAAATTGAAGAGCCATGAGAAGAAGGAAGTATCGCAAAACCCAATTCATCGAAAAGAGATGTTTGAGCAAAATTGAAAGAGCAATGTTTACCACCTAAAGAGTTTTTAAGGCCATAGCATGTTAAAAATGAGAAAATTTCGAATAAGGATATGAAGTATCATCAATTTCTCTAATAGGAAAAATAAGACCCCGAGCTTATTGGCCGGCCAAAATTTCGCCAGCTAATGAGAATGTGCATTAGCTGGCTAATGAAGATTTGGCTTACCGGTAAGCTCGAGGCATTTTTTGAGACTAAGTTGGCCACTTCATGTCTTTATTAGAAATAAGGTCTATTTTGAACCCTCTTTTAGAGAAAACAATAATATCGCAAATCCTTATTTGAAATTTTTCTAAATATAAAATTCTAACGGAATTGAAAAGGACAGTGTTCTTTTGATAAAAAGAAATTGTTAGATAAATTCATCTTATCTAGATGCAGCACATAGCATTAGTAAAATTACATAAATATCAGAACCATTTTTAAGTATATCACGAGATTAGAGCCGTTTGAAGAGATTTTCTCGTGGTGCGATGACCATGTGATGAAGCACCTCGAGGTTCAAGCATTTACAAAATGAATGAAAAACTTGTTACCCTTTTTTCTATACAAAGTGTCGTTACTCTTTCGAACTGCGAGCAAACCTCATTTTCTTTTGGATTAATATCACGAAAAATTTCAAACTGGTACATCTGTAATAAATTTATCAAAAACTATTTTTTTGACCACAAAAAATTCAAAACTGGTACACTTATGACAATTTTATCCCAAATTATTTTTTTACTACAAAAAATTCCACACCGGTATAACTATGACAATTTTACCCCGAAATAATTTTTTGATCACAAAAACCCCCAAACTGGTACAGTTGTGACAAATTTATCCTCCATTATTTTTCATTAAATTTTACTGTCAAATTGTTAAGTTTGATGACACGTGGTAGTTGACGGGGATACCAGTTTGAGGTTTTACCCCTATATTTGTCACAAGTTTACCAATTTATGATTTTTTGTGATATTAATCCAATTTAACGGATATCAACAGATGGTACCATCTGTTGATATCCGTTAAATTGGATTAATATCACAAAAAATCATAAATTGGTAAACTTGTAAGGTTTTACTGGTCAAAAAATTAGTTTTGGGTAAAATTGTCACAGGTGTACCGATTTGGGATTTTTGGAGGTCAAAAAATTAGTTTAGGGTAAAATTATCACATGTGTACCAGTGTGGGGTTTTTGGTGGTCAAAAAAATAATTCGGGGTAAAGTTGTCACATATGTACCAGTTTGGAGTTTTTTGTAATAAAAAAATTAGTTTGGGATAAAATTGTCACAGGTGTACCAGTTTTGGGTTTTTCGTGATATTAACCCTTTTCTTTTTCGTACGAATGACTTAAGTGTACCAATTTAGGATTTTTTTGTGGTAAAAAAATTTGTTTGGGTAAATTTATTACAAGTATATCAATTTGAGGTTTTCCGTGGTATTAACCAAAAATAAAAGCGAAACCCGAATTTATATGGATCTTAATAAGAACACAGATGCATCATTAGTAATGATTCCTTACCATGAAATCGCGATCTTAGCACGCCCTGTGTTTTGCGATTAGAGTTTACTAATCAGTAATTACCAAGAATTCAACTCCCCTCCCGTCAATTCTGGCTTTGCTGTTTTGCCTTTTGCGACACCTGAGGAATGTTGGGCCCACCCCTTCCTGACCCTTTGGCAATTGCCATTTGGCTTGGCCACAGTTTTTTGCTTTAGCACGAACTTTTCTATTTCTTTCAAACTTTGTCATTATTTAAATCCCGCTTGATAGATGGAAAATCAATGACTTGCAAAATACTTTTTCTAATCACGATCGATTGTGTCGCTTATAAAAATGAGTGAACGAAAAATATATTCATCATTCACGAAAATACCTAGACATGAATTACTGTCGACAAAGTAACGGATTATTCAAAGTAATATAAGCATTCGGTTGTTAAAAAATATTTTCAAAATCATTCATTTTTCTCAAATTAAATGAAGGCTAGTATATCAAGAATTTGGTGCATAATATTAAATGTAAATCTCAGATAACACCGGTACTTTTGACCTACTTGGAGACTTTCGGGACCATGACGTCGGAATAATTCAACGGTCACATGTTTTGAGGTGCCACTCAGATTTATTTAGTATTTAATGTCTAGACCATAGCACCGCTTGAACTTAATAATTAATTTTCCTAGTGTGGTGTAGCTTGACTCTTTTTCATGTGACGTGACGTTGCAAATTTATTTATTCGACTAAGTCTGGACATAAAAAAAATTAACATGTGGGACAGACCATGTGCTTAGCACATTAATCTACCAGCAAAACTTCTTGTGAACATAAATCTAACGAAGAAAAGACGTTGTGTTGGTATAAAAGCGTAATATTTTATTGACTTTGATCAGTTCCGTCCAAAAAAAAATTTTGTTCAATCTTCAGGAACTCCGAGAAAATAAACAGAAGAAAAAAAAAATGAACAAAATTCAGAGTAAAAAAAAAAAAATGCCACTCAGCTTGCATGACGCATGCGCTTGTGTGTGCACCAGACCACCACCACATGCAATGCAGAAACAACATTAAAATTTAATTTAACCTCAGGCCTAATTTGGTAATTAGTCCGTAATTGGGAAAAAAACGAGAGAGAGAGAGAGAGAATTTACGGAGTCCGTCCTAGATTTGCAAACGAGAGCAAAGAAGACTTACTCCCTTCGACATTCAAATAACGGGTTTATGACTGATTTGGGCAATTTTCCGAATGAACCTGATATACCAAGATTTCTCGAAATAATTAAATTTCCGTGAAATCAAACCTTTTTTTATTTACCGAAAGGAAAATGACACAAATGGTCAACGAACTTTGGTTAGATGTATAACGTGATCCATGAACTTTTAATTTGACAACATCGAAGTTCAAGAACTACATTAAATATATACCAAAAATTTATGAATCATATTAAATAAATTAAAAATTCATAGATCACATTGTATATCTAGTCAAAATTCAAGGACCATTTATATCTTCACTTCAAAGTATAGCGATTGATGTGCTTGTCATTTTCAACGCTTGGTCCTCCACTAATCCAAGATCTTCTAGAAAAGACATATGGATGCACCTTTGTTTCCTACTTGCTCGTCATGATAAAAAGAGGGACATAAACACTTTAGCTCAATCAACGTTGCGAGTCCCTTACGGCAACACAGGCAACGTTGGTATTGGAATCTATCGTGCGCACTGCGATATCGTCCATTAATCTCGGAATCAATTTGTCTCGATCGTGTCATTTGGTCTAATAAGCAGACATCGCCACAGGAGACCAGCAGCTGCGCAACCGATTGTGGAAATTTCTGTAGACCTATGAGAGGGCGTATGGACTACCGAATTCGAGTTGCCGCGTTCGGTGCGCGATCGGATTTGCCACGTCGGATAATGGCGAGCGAGCCGGCGCCCGCCGATGCTTTTATTGGTGAATTTTGGGGGGCAGCTGATCTAATGCGTCTATCGATCCATTGATCTATTGATTTGTTTCGACATTGTAGCCAAAATCTCGTGTTTGGTGCTCCTTTACGCTAATCCATTGGCAAATGATCTGCGCTTTCATCTTTTCAGCTTTATTATAAAAAGCATATTTATGAAAACAAATCAAAAGAAGGGCAAAAACTTCCTAAAACCCCAAACTATACCCATTATAATATATTTAATTTAATTTTTTTTATGACACAAAAAATCTCAAATTTATACCTGTGTTGTATATTTATCCTATGTCAATATTACGTCAATAAGTACCATTAAAATTTGCCTTCATGGACGGTGGAAGGCAAATTGCATTGACAATGGTGACTACGTGACTTAAATGAAACAAAAACAGTATCATTTAGCTAAAGAATTATAACCTCGATAAAGGGTAAATGTGTTATGTTAGATACAAGTTTTGAGTTTTTGATATCGCAAGAAAAAGTTTAGGTAAATGTGTCACAGTG